GCCCCGATCTCCCATCTTCGACCGCACAGCTGCGACAAGATGAGCCTGAAACCCGGTAGGCGAGGAACGAACGCTCCCACGTCGATCGATATTGGTGACTCGAGCGCAAGTAGCTCCTCGCCTTGGTGGTCGTAGACAAGAGCGCAAGGACTTGGAAAAACCAGAGCAATGGTCACCGCTCCGGTAGACTTTGCGTGAAGCTGCACTAGCTCTTTGCCGCCGCTGCCCTCTCCTGGGGCAAACACGACAACGAAGCTCATGAGGTTGGCTTGTGGTTGCTCCTCTTCATCTGCGCTAGAATGGTGAGCGTCGTCTACAATAGTGAACACGGGAGCCAGCACACTATCTCCTCTACGAATGGGCTCATCATCGTGTGAGCACTTATGTGACCACGGAAGATCATTCATCGCTTTCCGCCTCTTACGATAGTTGTCCGTGGAAACCCAAAACTGACTGTCTGCCATGCCTCTCATTAGCACGATTGGATCACGGAGTGATTGCATCCTGTCATCCTCGACGTGCACACAAGTTCATGAGAGATTCGCTAACATATACAAACATCACCTCAGAGTTGCTCCCCGGCTTTCCCCTCGGCCGCTGTCGCTTCATCGTAATCCCAAACCTAAAATGAAGGATAGCTTTTGTAGAGCTAAAAGGCCAAGCATAGTTTTTCTAGGTTTATAGGTCCTTGAACAGAATTTACTTGCTTGTTCTTGAGATGTTTCAGCGTGCCATGAATCTTATAAACTTCAAAGGTGGCATTGCGCTTGTTTATGATGGAGCGTGCGTATTGGCAACAAAACTCTCCTGGAAGGTATAGGTGATGTCGAGGGGTGGCAAAATGCGCTATTGTTTTTGCTTGCCAAAGAACACTTCCATGCGGCTCTTTGGCAAGGCTGTCAAAGGTTTTCTCAATTTAATGGAGGATTTATTGGAATTGTCTCCATGTTCCTCACCTGCAATTTCAGAAGTTTGCCAATTTCCATTGTTTTCATATCTTGGATCATATGGAAGAGATAAACATTAAGTGTACAATTTAAGGGTTTATTTATCCAGTTTTACAACTATCTGTCTGTGTATTCTCTTGATTCACTTGAAACAAATGTCCTTCTTAGATGATACATGACTACCTGTAGCCCAAAAATTCTCCACCAGGCCCTTTGTCAATTGCGGTACTCAATCACTCCTTTGCTTATGACCATCTAGTGCCTATCTACAAGTTATGATCCTTATCATCTTCCTCCTTGCTCATGCAGCTGGTAGGTTTCTTCTATAAATCCCAAGAACATTTGCAAGAGTAGTGTTTGGAATGTTGTCACCACCAATGATCATGGAAAGAATTGCTCTCTTTGCAACTAGATGATCACATGAACGTGCTTTCTTCATTAGTTGAGGTGATTGATGAATGTTGACGCACATTTTCTTCTTAGAGTTGCTTGTCAAAAAATTTTCTAGTAGACTAATTATTGGGCAAATCACTTTGTTGTGGCACACTAGAAAGCTATTAATGATCAATGCTTTTGTATATGAATCATCCTTGCAAGTGATGTCAAACAAGTCCCCTATAGCTTTGGCCTTTCTTCTTACTTTTATCATACTCATATACTCATGATGAAGTATTCCTGGCTTGATATAGGTGATCTTTGGTTTTATCATGATCACTTGAAGTAGTGGCCATCCTGAAGACAAATTAAGCACTTTGGTTAGATATGAAAGTAATTAGAAAAAAATACTATAAATATCTTACTAGATATGTGTTGTTGGTGCTACTACTTGTTGGTGCTTCTAGTTGCTGTTGCACCTCTTGCTTATTGCTGCTACTAAGCTCACTGGCCTAGAAAGAGTAGGGCTGTCAGGCATGATTCAGCTACTACTTGATAGGCACGATCTTATTGCTGCTAACTAATTGCTACTAGTGTTAAAGCTTGGCCGGTTGCTCCCTTGGTTGTTACTACTACTGCAAATTGCTGCCACCGCTGCTTGCTATCCACTGCTCCTGCTTCTTGCTGCCCTTGCCATTGGTGCTACTAGTGTTTATACTTGTTGTTGTTGCTGCTTTTTCTTGCTACTGCTGTCATTGTTGGTGTTGCTGCTTGCTTGCGCCCACTGTTGCTGTTGGTGCTATTTCTTGCTTGCCATCAATGCCACTATTGCATATTGTTGCCACTACTGTTGCTGCCCCTACTGCTGTTGCTGTTGGTCTTGCTCTTTGCCACTGCTGGTGCTACTAGTGCTGTTGCTTACTACCAATACTGCTTTGCTTGTCACGGCCACTGCTGTTGGTGTTGCTACTGGTGCTGGTGCTGCTCCTTGCTACCACCGCTATTGCTAGTGTTGATGCTTGCCCCACTGTTGCTGCTACTTGCTGCTTTCTACTGTTGCCTCAATCATACTCTAAGATGCTCCATTCTAAACCATAGCCGAATCAATCCACAAATGTAAGCAAGGTGATGGAGGAGGGGAGGAGAAGAGGAGGATTGGGAAGATGAGCACTGCATCGAAGCTGCCCCATGACAATGCTCCATACCTTCCATGTTCATAAGTTGTAATTCAAGGAATTCCCAAGTTTGTGAAATTTAAAAAATTTCAAGTTTGTGCAATCTAAGAAATATTCTCTTTACCAAATCAATAAGCAATCAATGCATGTTTCTGGGCACTTGAGGTAAACAAAAACCAAGTAAGCCTCAGTTCATGTTTGTTTCAATTTACTTAGTTCATCTTTTAAATGTAGAGTGGGAAATATTAATCTTTGCTTTCATCACTTCCTAAATAGCCATTGGTCCTTCATTAACATTTGTTATTTTCCACTAAGACTTAACATAATTTTCCATATATGATTTTGAACACTCAACCTTTATATCGTAGAATTAATCTTCCACCACTTTATAGTTATTAACTCCTTTAAAGACTGGTGAAAGCTTGGATTTGTACTTTGGAATTTCTTGTGGGACAAACATTTACTCAACCTTTTCCTTCCACCTCAATAAATTCCTTGCTTTTTACATTGTTAATATTTGCAATCTTTTATTTTTTCTCCATTTTTCTCATCATGTTTTAACTTGTGTATAAGGGTCTTTAGTAGGGCATTAACCTATATTATTTGCCCTTCCAAAGCATTTAATCAAGCAATGAGCACACCTCCAGATTCATATTTAGAATTTTTTCACTTTTAAATTCATATTTGGAAGTTTTTTCATTGGAATCCTCCTTATACAAAGATTCTTTATCCATTAGTTCTTGTTTGACCGAAAGCTCCATCTTTATAAGCAATTTAATATTTGTTTTTGCTCATTTATGCCTTGTCTTACCCATCTTTTAGTGATTTGTCTTTATCATTCATTGTAATTGGGAAAATAGTTTCGATACTAAATTGCAAGCCATAATTTTTCTTCTCCAATTTATCAATTTACTTTGCCTTTTTAACCACTTTTGCCTTAGCCATAGTTAAGTTACATTCCACTTCTATTGTATTAGCTCTTATTTAATTCTACCTAATTTCAATAAGTCAATATACAGAGTATTAACCATCTTTTCATGGATTCCACTCCACCTGAGCCAAAAGCACCACATTTGATTTCCCTTCCAAGAATAGAAGTTTTTTTTGAACACCTCCTTAAAAGGCTTCCCTAGCAAGTCTAGCAAATGTTGGCAACATATTTAAAGCTAAAGTAGGTGGTCGCACTTTAGGAGCACACTGGGCACCTTCACATAAAAAGAAACTCATGGTAGAAAGCTTAATTGGCTAGAAAGTGGCAAACAAAGGAAAAAAGAGGGGCCTCAAAAATCATAGCCTTTAACATGTGTTCCACAAAAACTACATAAACTATGGAGATTTAATGTGGGGGTAGTATAAAGACATTAGGTTTTCTACTCACTGTTGTGGACCATAGTGCATGACCCACTCAAGTGCCAGAAGCAACATAGCACTTCATTTTTATACATCCACTGCTTCTTGATGTCCTGAGAATGCTCTACTACTATGTTCTCATAAGTTGAGGTGGGGCAGTACATGCCCACACTGGCAACAGCTAAGAGAGAAGGTTTTTCAGCCAGCAAGCACACTTTTAATGCCTAATTGATGCACAAAAGCCACAAATGACTCCTCATGGCCACAAAAAACAAAAGGTGGAGGCATAGCATTGTAAAGCCTTCTACTTAATCCAGTGGGCAACATTCGCCTCACGACCTCCCTATTGGGCAAATGTGGTGAAAGTGGCTAGCTCTAGAGGAACTGTGCATGATGTCTAGAGCTATGCATTGCCAACATCCCTATACCACATCCCAAAGACATGATCTAAGACATTGCAGCCATACATCACAATAAGTAGGAAAGGCATTGCTAGATTGCTCCCCACCCACACCCACCCCCCGGACTCAAGCTGCTGATGGGCTAGTCTCGGAGGTTAGGGTATATAAGGGCCTCTTCCACCACTAAAAGTCAGCCTGAATGCCCCCCCCCCCATAATAGCTCCTCTAACGTAATTGTGCTTCAGCTGGAAAGTGAAGTAGCAAAAAGGAGCCAGATGTTCACTCCTGGATGACAAGAGTGAGACATAATAGAGACAAAAAGAGACAATGTACTGTAAGAACTCTAAATGATGCTACTGGTATATCCCCATAACATTATTTTCAAGGATAACCAAGTGGAACCAGGTTCTTCAACACGTAGAACTGGAGCAACAACTTCAACTTTGCATCTTAAAACTTCAGCAATGCACTCATAATTTGTTGGTACTGCTTGCTTCTACAGGCTGCTGCTGCTTTGTTTCCCAGGCTTACAGATCATAGCCCGGCTTGGGCCTGCTTTGCTCGCTGAAAAGGACATCTTTGACGAGGTGTTTGAACTGGCCAAAGAGTACTTTAATTAGGGAGACCCAACATCACATACACTTGAGATTCTAAACCTGAAATTAAGAGTCTATTTTGTCTACAACCAAGTGACCAAAGAGTTTTGTCTGAAATTCTTCCTCGCGCATCACATGGGCTACGTGGGCGTAAACATGGAAGTCCTCGTGGATTGCCGCAACACCCTCTTTGCGAAAGGCTTACATCACTGGGTTGGAGGAGCTCTGGCGGTGGTGTTTTGGACGCCATGGGTTCTTAACTCAATGTACTCTGAAACGGAGATTGATATCGTCAAAGGGAACCTGCAGACAATGTAAACTCCCGAGCCCAAGCCGGACGGCATTCAGGGCTATGATCTGCAAGGAACAAAACACCAAAGCCATGTCAAGCAAATTTTGACAGTTTGATAAATTCTAGGGCTCGCGAGCAACAGCAGCACTCGCGGAAAAACAAAGCTTTGAACCCTATGCGCATCTTTGAGGATGGCCAAAGGGCAACACACTTGCTTTTTTGGTTCTATCATAAAAATTAAGAGATTTTGTCTGACTTTGCTTTTCAGAAGTAAAGAGTTTTGCTTGAAATTCTTCCTTTGAAATACTTTTTTGTCTTGTGATAATTTTATTAACTTTTTAATGAGTTAATAATAATTTTATTCAGTGAATATTACCAATAGATCTTTCTCCTTGTGTATTTCTTGGCAGGTGCTACCCAGGCATTATATAGCTTACACAGCCCTGGAGAAACATAGAAGAAGATCCATCATGGGAGCCTCCTCTATCCTTAGCATTTTTGAGGGCGCCAAAAGCTTTTACATACCACCGCACAGCTCTTATCATGTTGATTTGAATCCTGCTTATGATGCAAAGTTGGATGCTGAAATTGACAAATGGTGTATGGATTTTTTGAACTCGCATGATCTCACTGATCACAAGGCTCAGTTTGCCATTCAGAGCAAGCTGGGAAAACTTGCAGGCTTGGCATACCAGGCCATTTCTTCAGAGAGACTGCGTCCCATGGCAAAATTCTTGTGCTGGTTGTATCTTGCAGATGATTTTATGGACAATCCCTCTGTCCCTGTCTCGGACCTGAAGAATGCCACACTTGCATACAAGCTCATCTTCAAAAACGACTATGATCAAGCCATAACTCTGGTGGAAAGTAAAGGCCTTCTGCGGCAAATGGGGATGCTTAACGATGTCTACACTGATCTAAAGGGTTTCATGAATCCTGGACATAGGACCCGGTTTTCGAAATCCATGGTTGATGTTCTCGACATGTTTGAGGTGGAATCAAGTTGGCTTCACAAGACACTGGTTCCCAACTTTGAGATTTATATGTGGATGAGGGAGGTAACGGCTGGGGTTATCCCTTGCATGGTGGCAATAGACTTCCTTAATAATTTTGGGCTGGAAGAGGAAGGAGTGCTAGACGATCCCCATATTCAAACGCTGGAAGCGATTGCAAATCGCCATACGTTCCTAGCCAATGACATGCTGTCCTTCAAAAAGGAATGGGCTTGTAAACAGTACCTCAATTCTGTGGCACTGGTTGGTTACAGTAGCAACTGTGGCTTAAACGAGGCAATGGAGAAAGTTGCACAAATGGTTCAGGATTTGGAGAAAGAGTTTGCTGACATCAAACAGAAGGTTCTCTCAAACAAGGACTTGAACAAGGGAAATGTCATGGGGTATGTGCAAGGCTTGGAGTATTTCATGGCTGGAAATATAGAGTTTAGCTGGCTCTCTGCGAGATATCATGGGGTGGGATGGGTTTCACCAGCTGAGAAATATGGTACCTTGGAGTTCTAGTTTGCTTCTACTTGCATTAGAAGCTGGTGCTTAAAATAAAACTGATACTGGTGAGTATGAACAATAATATTTTGAATTTCTCATACAACTGTTGAGTAATATATTTTCATTTCTTTCTCCACTTTTTTCTTTCCGTACTAGACATTTACTTTTTGATACAACAAAAGCTTAGCACCACAAGTCTAGCAAAAAAATAGAGAGAACTACGTTAGATATTTCCAGAGCTTACTTGGAGACTGGCAAGCATCTTCATTTCTTTCTCCACTTTTTCCTTTCAGTACTAGACATTTACACAACAAAAGCTTAGCACCACGAAGTCTAGCAAAAAAAGAGAGAGAACTGCGTTAGAAATTTCCACAGCTTACTTGGAGACTGGCAAGCATCTTCAGAGCCGCGTCTATCTTTGCAGACTTCCTCGGCTTCTCCTGCGAAGTTTCCACAAGTGATTCTTCTCCAAAAGTCACCCTTACTTCAGTTGTGGTCGCCTCTGTCCGGAAGAAACTGACTTTCATGCCTTTTCTCGCGCAAAGCTCCATAAGAATGCGCACAGGATGGAAACGTAGCGTCGCTGGAGTGACCAAAGGCGATAACAAAGGCAGCACCACTCTCCACAACTTCTCCAAATCGAAGTTAGTGTCCACAAAGATGGCACCGGTTATGCTTTCAAGTAAGTCTCCAAGCACCTGAGAAAAGAGAGGCCAGAATGTAGAGAAGACCACCGGAATCTGTGTACGTACCTTTGGGGCCGACAAGTCTTCGAAGCATGAAGCGTCTGGTTTTTCCTTCACGTTTTGCACGAACTTTCGGATCTCGCAGTCAAGTTCCACGGAGCCATGCTGAAGATGCTGATGTAAGCCGTGCCTCAGAACCAGCCGAGCAAACCATTTGTTGTTCACGGCTGCAGACCGCAAGTCTGTGAGTGTTCCTGGAGGTAATCCTGGATGAGTCTCGAAGAGGTGGCGGGATACAAGGAAGTCCAGGACGCCATCGCCAAGGAACTCTAGCCGCTGTATTTGTTTTCGATTAGAAAAAAAGCCCAGCTGATAAACCAAGGAACTTACCTGATAGCAGAGCAAGCAGTTCGGTTGAGATGCGTGAGTTATAGCTTCCACCAAGAGGCTCCTGTTTTGAAATTTATACTGCAGCTTATGCTCTAAAGACTCCAACGATGCCTGGAGATGTTGAAACGATTCAGCCGGCAGGGAAGCTTGGCGAGCCGAGGCAAGCAAGCCTATGTCGAATTCTATGTCAATGCCGAGCTGTTTCATAAGCTCCATGGCGCTCGGAGGTCCAGACGTGGCCAAGTATGCACCGATAAGGGCCTCTACAACGTCGGCGAGAGCTTTCCTTCGAATCCCCCGATGGCCGTTGGCACACGATGAAAAATAATTTTCCTCGTTTTCATAGCTCCCCTGCTGGTGCCTACATTTTGATGAATCAGAGGTAAGCATGCCCGGGCCAGTCCAGTTGGAAGGATTGAATTCTTCGTCGCGTATGTATTCCTGCAAGGCAACGTTGAACATTTACACTACAGGAAGAAAGATCGCGCATACCGCAATGCCAGATGATTTTGCCAACTGATGTAGCGCTGCATTACAAGTAGCGCGAGACCTTCTCGCACTGAGCTGGCCTTCGTGTTTCTTATCGTAGACCAGGAACAGCTTTTGAGTCACGACGTATTTGAGAAACGAGTCCCCTAGAAGCTCCAAACTCTCATATGAGAACTCTTCGTGACATTTTTTGCTGGTAATTGCTTCGAGGATCTGGAAAACCATCTCACCACTAAGATGCATTTTCAAGGATAAAGATGAATACCTTCGCTGCAGGAATCCATGGCCACAGTGGTGAGCGCAACTGTATGGCACAGACGGTCGAAGTAAACCGGTGAAGAAACGAAGGGACGAAGTATAGCGATCGAATTAGTCCGGACTTAATCTCTAGGCACAGGCACAACTCAGGTGGTAGCTCTACAAAACTTTCTTCTTGTCTAGAACCTGCAACATAAACTCCGACACTTTAAATTGTAATTTCTAAGAAAATATCGAGTTTTCACCATGATCACCTTCTTGTTCCTTGGGTCTTATGGGGAGATTATGAAAAGCATGCGTTGGCTTGGCTTTCAGCAATGGCTGCTCTGGAAGCCGTAACGTCCTTTGATACCTGCAAAAACGTGAGCTTGGTGAGAGAATGTAGGCACAGGCTGCGATAGACGCTCACTTGTCTTTGTAATAATCTATGTACGTGAAGCCCCTCTTCGGTAGTAGTGATGCCGCAGTAAAGTTCTCTAGAACCCCTGTGACACAGAAAAGCCTGCCATTGTGCACGGTAGCTACGACCATGTCCTGGAGCGCAGAAGAATGTACGTAGCCATTAGCAGTGCAGAGCACGTCCGCGTGCGTCTTCTCCCCCACACCATCCCCATCCATTGGAGAAGATGGTGAGAAATTACTACAAAGTGTCCTGTATACCCCCGCAGTCGCATGAACACTCGTCCAATCAATACTGTCGTTGTCATCATGCACAGGTAGCAGAAGAAACGCTTGAGATTTGTTCCAGAGGATTTCTTGAGGACTTCCCGAGCAGCGTGCCAAACGGTTGAAAGCTCCGTTGAGCAGTAGCTCTTGATATGCCTTGGCTGCCTTTACCTGTATCAGAAGAAAGACGTGCCTTTATCAATCGTGTCTCCTATTCTTAATGAACAAAATCCTTCGTACCTGATTGGCATCCAGCTGAATTGGCCCGACGCGATGCACTCTAGCGTTGACAACTCTATTTCTTGAGAACAGGGTCACTTCAGAATCGGTTACTTCTGCGTCAATGACGCAATTTACCAGAAATCCAAAGTTCGAGTATGTTCGTGATTCAGGTGGCTCAATCACGAAGCAGATTTTATAAAATTGCAACTGCACCCCTGACTCGTTAAACACCCAGCTTCCCTCGAAAATGAGTGGCTTTGCAGTCGAGAAGATCTCCTTGCGTTTTCCTGCAATCCACGCGTCATTAATGGCCTTGCAAACTTAATAGAATAGTCGAATACCTGATTCATTCTTCCGCATCGACTGGTCTTCTTCATCGAAATCGTCAACATCTGGGCAAAGCGTGTCAGGTCTAACTTCTCCCATGTCATAAAGTTTCCGGCAAGCTTGCAAACACGCTGCTTTTTTCGCGAGCTGTTCTGTACGTCTCAGAGGACCTTCTACTGAACGCAGAGGAGCGTTGGGTGGAAATTCCACAGTGCAGACGAACGAATCTTTGAACGAAAACTTTGGTTTTGCATTGTAGTACCTGCGGCACAGAAGATGAGCATAAGAGAGATAGACGAAAGAAATACCTGTCACCAAGACGAGCACAATACTCGTGAATGAAGCTCACGCTGTCCTGCGAACTTTTACAAGCACCTGATTCCACACGGAAAAACTCCAGGTCACCTTCTGGAGGCGCCTCTCTCGTAATATCCATATAATTTCGGAAGATTACTTGATCTTCCACCACTCTCTCGCTTGTACACAACTGGTTAAACAGGTTCAGCTGCTCTACATTCCCCCTGTACGTATCAGATCCATGTTTAGAATGCAATTACAAAGGACGAACTATTTACGTTTCCAGAAGCCATACATAAGTTGATGATAATCGGTTTCGAGCACGTCCTCGGGATTGAACATGGCTTCGCAAAGTTTGGCATACGTCAAATCTGATTACAGCGCAGCATGCCTGGACATCAAGACCTTCTTCTGCAACTGAGGTCGCTATTAGCAGATTAAGCTACAAGATATACAAGGAACGTTACACATAAAAAGCGTAAGAACTACCAACCTTGCCACCTGCAAAAGCGTCTAGGACCTCCTGCTGCTGGGTTGGATTTCTTGCATCCGTGTCACGCACACCAGTCATATAATCACAACGGAGATGAGAAAGAAACGAAAGCCGAGATATGAGCTTGGCTAAGGCCATGGCCACAATCACACGTTCCACAAAGACAATGCAACGCATGTTTGTAATGCCCCTGAAACATGATATAAGAAAAACTTCCAGGGAGGGCAAAACTAACCTCAATCTTTCAAGCACATCCAATAGTACCAGTACTTTCGGGCTTAATGTTCCTGAAGTCATTTCCTCTAGAGTCGGATAAGAGCGTGAAGATACTGATTGTGTGCTTGAACGGTTTAGACAAACAAAAACAAAAACAGAAAAGAAAAGAAAAGAGAGATACGAACCTTGAGAAAACCTTGGTATTGAAGAAACATTTTGTAAGAAACGCTCTTTCAAGCTCGTTTTCACCTCCTCCTCCTCCAACGAGACATCTGGCTTCCATTTTGAATGGAAAGTACTTTTGTTGCGATTCTGGAGTATCTCCACTGCCTGCAGAAATACACATTTCTAATACAACACATATGTTATGTGATTACCAGAAGCGCAGGTAGAAGGCCCAGGTCTACGAGGCAGTGGTTTATGCTCAGATGAAGTCTGTCAATAGATTTTTTGATTTTGTTCTGCAGCTCATAGTCGCTACAGTTACACGCAGCTTCAGAATTTAGCTGTAGTTCAAAGTGAGAAATAAGAATTACATAAAAAATTAGGGGGAACTTACGCGGTCTTTTAGTATTTCTAGCTCAGTCTGTATACTGGAGAACCTTTGTTTCGGTCTGTCATAGTACTCCTTATATTGTGTCGGATTCGGATAATACTCTTCTACTTCGGACTTATCTTCCACTGTGTACACCTAACCATGACGTGAGAAAAAGTCATTCTCCAACATATAACTAAAACCTTCGCATCCAGAATGCTTTCTAAGACCGTTAATTTACGATTGCAGTCATAACTTGATGATACACCTGAAATATTTCCTCGAGTAAGAGTTATAAACAGGAAACACAGAAACAACAGTGTTACGGCACCTTTCTGAATAACAGGAGAAGCTGTCATTCCAAATATCTTTGGCTTTGATTTGAGACAAGAAACGTGGTAGTGCGTCTGGGTATAAAGCAGCATAAGAAACAGGCTACAGACGAAAAATTTCACCTTCATAATCAGCGCGTATGGATGATTCTTGTGGGCGTGATGACACTCGTCCATGACAAGGACCTCCACAAACTCGAGCTTCAGCGCAGAAGTCCCGAGCGCATTTAAAAACACCTGAGGCGTCATCACCAGAACCTGTAGACAAAATCCATAAGAAAACAACGAAAAGATTGTGATCGAAGACGCTCACTTGATGAGAATCCACCTCCGCCTGCCATTGATTGACGCTCCAAGAATCGACTCCCTTGTCACCGTAGTAGTCACCGACCTTGAGCACCGTAAAGGATTCTATAGCTCGAGCTTGCTATGAAAGAAGAAGAGCAAAAAAGTTACAGTCTAAAGAATTGGAGAACTCACGAAGAAGAACAATACCTGGATCACCAAATTCACCGTTGGAGCTAGAAACACCGCAATTCGCTTCTCCTGGGGCATGGACAGCCTCTCCTCGAAGCTCTGGATGAGCATGATCGCGATCATCGTCTTCCCCGTTCCAGTGCCGAGATTGACGATGATATTCTCCTTCAATGCCCTCTGGAACACATCTTTCTGGTAGCTGCAACGCCATTTCCTCTCGAATCAGGCAGAATGTAGGCTACTAGATCGTCTCTTACCCGCGCGGGATCATCGTCTTGGCCCGCTTCGCGCAATCCATGACGCCAAAAGCCCCTGTTTGAAAAACCCTAGCCTAGTGCCAAACAACTTTGCCTTTAAAATGGGTTTTTAATTGTGTTTCGTTCTCGCCAAGGAAAAAAGAACCAGCCAATGGTGGCGATCATCGATCGATCATCTTCTCTCTCTCTCTCTCTCTCACTCCTGGTCTTGGGCACCACTAGAAAATCTACAGGGCATAAGAGCTTTCTTTTGTACAAATTTGGAGGAGACCCTCTCCCTCTCTCTCACTCGAGACGATCGTTTGATAAGAGGCGGTATCAAATCGATCACCTGGTGCTGACGCGAAGAATCGGCTGCGCCACCGCGGGAGTGAGGATGCTGGAACAAAACTCCTCCCAGGATTTCTGGTTTTGATCGTCGGAGTCACTGCCACTGCTGCTGCTGCTCGTCTCGGAGAGATTGGAGCTCACGTCCGGCTGTTGCTGGAAGGCCGAGTGGAGCTCCACGACCAACTTACGAGCGGATTCGCGAGCCTCGGGGAGCTGGTCGATGAGCTGCGCAGCGGCGATTTGCATCAAAGCTTCCAAGCCATAGTCCCTGATGCCTTCGGCGCCCTGGAGGAAACAAGGAAAATGTGAGAAACTTTCGATCGAATCCATGAAGATCTCGAGCAACTTACGAGCTTGGCGACGCTCTTGGAGATACATGTTGCCGACTTTGCACGGACGCGGGGGTTCTTGTGCGTCGTATACGGCTGGAGCTTGTGGATCAAAGAGACGGGCGATATCCAGGTAGTCATTCCCAAGAGAGCCTTTTCGGCTTCCTCGCAAACGAATTTCTTGTCTTGTGATGCTTTGAGCAATAGTTGGAGCAACTGGATCACAGAAAAAAATAAAGGACCAAAAGCTTAGAACCAGTGACCCATGAAACTATCTGCCTATGCATGGCGAGAAGGGAAAAAAAAGAGGGCAAGGAGAAAAAAAGTACCAGAGGATCGAGCATTTCGAGCACTTGATCTTGAAACGCCTGGAACAAATCCGAGCATGCCATAATCGCCGTCTTGCACAGCGCGCTGCGAGGATTCTTCACGGCCTTCAAGACTAGGGTCATGACATTCTCCCTGCGGCGGCGGCATCGATCATCAATCCACCAGTCCGAAATATCAGATCTAGAACCACTCACAGCACGGGGAGGAGCAAATCCGACTGGAAGATGGAGATCTGGCGCACTTGATTCAGCGCCGCGCACACGGTGAGCCAATCTCCGGAGCCGAGCCTTGCTGCCAGGGTCTGCCACCAGCAATGCCGTGAGCAAGAATGCACATCCCCATAGATCTGCGCCATAGAACCCTACCTTGAGCTGCGTCTCGGGATCTTTGAGCGGCTTGAGATCCCTGGAAAGAATGTACTCCACTTCTTGCACTGGCGGCCGATTCTCATCGTTGATCTTGCCTAGAACCGCTGGCGCTTGCTGCTGCTGCTGATTCTTCTTGACGATTCCTCCAGCCATCATCTGGCGGCAACGATCACTGGACCGACCAAAGCGCCAAACCCAAAAGAAGAAGAAGAAGAACAAAAAAATGGGGTTTTCTCTTTTTTTCCTCTCGTCCTTCTCTCTTCACGGCCGCCTTATCTTCAACGGCGAGCTAGGGAATATTACGACGGGCGCCCGTCAAGATGCCGGCCGACGTGACGTCCCACCGTTGGAGTGATGTCCTCCACGTGGCACTGCTCGTGGTGGGAATCGAACGCGAGACCTTTATAAGCTCGAGATTGAGTTAAAATTTTTTGACACGTCTACCTAGTCGAGATTAACGTTCTTCACCCCGCACTGCTTGCTCACGAGCTGCTGTTGCCGCGGGCTCACAGCGATCTCGCAAGAAATCCCCACCTGGAAGAAGAAGCCAGTGAGAATCTCTCGATCGATCGCGACCAATCGAGCGATCGATCGGTCAATTGAGCGAGAGAAGAAGAAGAAATCGTAAGACGAAGTTAGCCCAAGAACCCTAAAAAACTGACCTCGATCCGGGGCGTCTGGATTCCCAGCACGACGATCCTCGCCGGGATCTTCCCGCGCAGATCCAGCTTCACAATCCCGCTGGCCGCGTCCTGGAGCAGATCCTCCGCCGTCGCCTGGAGCACATTGACCCTGTCCACGACGATCGACGCCCGGACGAGCCCGCTGCTGCGCGCCGGCTGATAGAACGCTGGAGCCACCGCCAATCCCACGAAATTCCGCCTGTAGTAGATGTAGATCCGCGTCGCCGAGTACCTGATCCCGACCTTGTTGGGATTGTGCGCCGCCAGCGTGAGCTCCAGATCCATGGACAGCAGCACCGCCATGCCGCTAGTGGTGAGCGGCGCGGGCTGCTCGACGCGAAACGAGACAATGCGCGCGTCCTGGAGGGAGAAATCTGGCCGCCTGGGGCGCAGGACGAGGAAGAGGACGAGCGCGACGATCGCCGCTAGGACGACGACGAGGAGGAATCCAATGCAGCAGCATCGCCGGCACGCCCTGGATCGATCGTAATCGTCGTAGTAGTCGTGATGGAGATGGAGCTTGCGCCGGCCACTAGCGCTTCTCATTCTCTCTCCCTCTCGCGCGCGCGTTTCCCTCGTCTAAAAAAGAGAGCTCTCCTCTCTTTTGCTAAAGAGATTTCTTGGAAGGAAAAAACTACCTATGGAATTTATAGACAAGGACGATCCAAAGGTTTTTTTTCAGTGGAAGCTTTCATTTTCCTTTCAATCACTGTTTCCTCTATGCTTTGCCGCTTCACATTCCTTCGATTCGATCAAAAGATATAAACTTTTGCCCATGCGTGATTCTTATGCTACACCAATCCAATAAGCCCAAGATCAAACAACGTACATATTCTCTAACCTTTGGTAATTCCCCGGACGTTTGGAGTTCCGATCTTCTTGAGGCAAAACGTTGAAGTGCTTGTAACTTTGACGAACAATTCCTTGTAGCTCTTCCCGAAGACGTGTGGTGGTACCAGATTCGAATTTATTTTTTGTTTGGTCTACTCCGAGTCACTGTCTTCATACGTCGTCGTGCGGATCCTTGTCTGTCCGTAGTCGTCTTCCACCTTTTTCTCTGGAACTATCAAGATCCCTGTCACGAAACTCGAGGTTAGCAAGCAATCGAAGCTTAGAGACAAGCTTTGCTTACCTTTCTTGATCAGGAGCTTCTCGAGCGTCGCTGTGGGAAAATCGTCCACGCCTCCCAGTTCTTCAAACCCGACAATTCTCTCGCTTGCAATGCCGTTCCTGCGAGAGGCAAAAACGAGTGAGCTTTCCAGACATCCGGGACCGAAAATTCTGTTACCTGAATAAGATGACGCACGGCAGCGTCTTGATCTTGAGCTTTGAAACGAAGAATGGACATTTCTGTACGGGGATAAATGAATCAAGGAACTGACCGACAGGAACGAAAAACCTCACCTCCGCATCCACCATAATGAATTTTGTCTCAAAGTGTTTGGGAGCTAGAGCTTTCAGGTGCTTGTTGATGATCCTGTGTACAGCAGCATTACAGAGTTAAAGCTTCCACCGAGAAAAAAAATTCTCTCTGCAACTTACTTGCAGCGGAAGAACTCGCGATGGTAAAAGTGACACACAACCTTGTCACTGCCAGTAACTTCTCCGAGAAAATCTTCTTCGGCTACCTGAAGAACACATCTCGAAAACCAAAAATCTCAAAACTAATGGAATGAAGCTCTTGCTTTTACCTCTCTGTACTCTCCATGTCCCTGCCTTTGCAAAACTTGCCTCTTCTCAGCTTCCCTCTACAAAAACCAAAGAAACAAAATCTCTCAGAGTAACTCGAAAGAAACAAACAAGCAAACCTTGAGTGATGCAATCCTATCGGCATGGAGCCGCTCCAGCTCTGGATCCTGAAAACAATGAAGTAAACCACGGCAAAGAGCTCCATCAAAAACTCACATCCATGAGCTCGTCCAGATCTACTTCCGGCGCCGCCTCCTTCGTCGATTGCTTCTCTGCCGCCAGCATTTCCTGGCCATGAGCGCACAATCCTTGAGAACAAGGTTCCACAAAACCTCGCTCCCCTGGAAATATTTCCAGGCTACATTCTCTCTCTCATCGGCGGCGATGCCTACCTTCTTGTAATCCCGCGCCGCAGCTCCCATGGCGGATCCAAACGCCAGGTCGGAGAGCGTCGATCCAAACTTGCTGGGATCCATAGCTGCGAAGAACAGAGCTTCTCCCCAACAAAACAAGAAGATTAGGGCTCACAGACCTAACGGGTGTGGGATATTCCTATAGAAGAATTATGGAGCAGCGGGCGCCATCGCTGCTGGAGCTGAGCACCGAGTGCGCTGTGCGCAATATCCAGCGGTTGCCATCGCTCGGATCCATTCCAGATCACATCGTGCTTCACTTATTCCGCGTAAGTCATTCTCGATCTAGGGATTTCTCGTCCTCCGTCCTTTGATGTCTAGGATTCCTTCCATGGGATTTTCTCATTCTGGATTCACTCCTATTTTCTAGATTGATGAGAACCATTCCTGTTATTTGAATCTTTCCATTGTAGCGATTTTGAGCAATCGATTGTCATTGTTCTTTAGAGAACTCTAGAGTGTGGGAAGCTAACCGAGGGAGTGTTACAATTGTTCCTGGCCACGGGTCACAAACAAATCCAGGACTTTGTGGCGCAACACATCCATCCAGTTTTAGAGCCTATTCTCCCAACAAGTAAAAAATCATAGCTTCTTTTCTTCTGTGTTTCTTATACCGAGCTTTCCAGGATGCTCAGATCGGTGACTAGTATTTTGTATAACCGACGGAACTATTTTTCTTGCTTGTATAAAAAGAGGTTTGTTTATTCATTTTTTCTAAGCTAGAGTGCTGAAGATCTGAATTTCTAGTTTTGTTGATGTGAATCAATCAGAAGAAAAAAATTCATATCAAGAAGGTAATAATTACTTTTCAACTTTTTAATTTTGTATGGATATTTGTAAATTATATTATATTTTATTCTCCAAGTACGATAAAGTTTTATTATCCTCTCAATTAATATGGTTTTTCAAATATCAAAATCACACTACATGCTTATTAAGGGTTGTTATTGACTTTGGCTGGACATCCTCATCCATCCAAATAATTCTAATCCAGATTAATAGTAAACTGGAAAGAAAGAAATAAACTGATTAATTACTCAATTGTATAAAATATTGCTCATGATTGATAATATATCACTATGATGGTACTTGCATTGCTGTCTAATATAAGAATAAATCATTTTTTAAAAATTTGTTATTATGGTAGATTTATGGCACTTTAGTTTAAGAAAATTAAAAAATAATTCATAACTTGTTAGAAAATTATTTCAAGTAGATTTTATTGTGATTAGAATGAGATTATTATTTATATATAAATTTAAAAGCAAAGAAATCAACTGTACTATGATCAATGTATTGATAGCAACCTATAAATGACCAATTATTCCATCCATAATCACCTTTTGTTTTATATTTTGCAAAACCTAGGAAAACTATTAATTTATAAAGCTCATCTTTTACATAAAAATCTACAATTTCTTGTATATAAAAATCTACAATTTCTAATATAGGATTTGGATCTTTTTGATCTTCAAACAATAAGACTTTTCTATAAATAAAAACATTTACATCTCTCCCATAATTATTATAGGATACAGTTAAAACATAATTTATAAATTTTTCCCAATCATAAGTGCTTAAACCAAAATTTAAAAGATGAAAAAACCAAAAATAAAGAAATAAATTATAATGTGATAATACAATTAGGAGCAAGAATCAATGCCCCATACAAGATTAATTTTGAAGTGAAGTGAAGCACACTTGGCTAAACAAGCACTAACTTTGGGAAATGGCTATACACAACTTTCGATTATGTACGGAGCGGAGTGGAACCAGTTTTTCCCATGTGTATAATACAAAAAAAAACCACCACCTTCTCAAGAATCCTAGAGTCTTTCAAGGAAAAAAAGAGAGAGAGAGAAATGGAAAATGGTCACCTTGTCGCCGATGTCGCTGCCACCTTCTTCTCTACATCCTGCGAGGCTTTCTTCGGCTTAGCCTTGCTTCTCGGCTTGGCCTCTTTCGCAGCATCGCTGGTTGGAGTTTCCTTGGCTACTTTGGAAGGCTTTGGTGGCTTCATCTCATCACCAGCTTGTCTCTGCGATTATCACTCGTTATATAAACTTGGCAAGAGGGACACAGAAAAAATGTAAGCAAATCGACCTACCTTTTGTCCGGACTTCCTCCTGCTAGGCGTGGCTTTCTCCGGAAGCTTTTCGGAGTCTCCAGCACCCGCGGCGAGGTCGTCTTGCAGGGACACCACCTCATCAGCGTCGATTTGCACGACCTTCCTACTCACTTCATTCTTTTTACCTCTCGGCTTATCCTGCATGAAAGCAGTGGACAAACAGATGTTACGCTCAAGAGCTTTTAGAGTGTAGATATCTCACCGTTTGCTCCAGAGACTTCTGATGCTTTAATCGCTGCTCAAGCTCGGCATCGTCCAACAGCAAAGATACCACTTCGTCGGCCTCGAACACGTCTTGAGATTGTCCTCCAGTCATCACAAGCTGCTGGACTGTGTTTTTCTGGTTTGCTCGCTTCACAATCTTCTCTTCGACTGTTCCTTTGCAAATTAGCCGGTAAACAGTCACCTGAAATGACAATGATTGTAAGTAAAACCAGAGTATACTAGAGGAAACAACCTCCTTGGTTTGGCCAAGCCGATGAGCTCTGTCCATGGCCTGCAAATCCATAGTCGGGTTCCAGTCGCTCTCGTAGAAAATGACGGTGTCGGCTGCTGTCAAATTTATGCCAAGACCTCCGGCTCTTGTGCTCAGTAGGAATACAAAAATGTCAGACCTGCCACCAAACCCATCGGTATCAGAAATAATTTAGCATGACCAAACCTGTGTTGGAAATCTTTAACCATGTCGCGTCGATCCATAATCGTGGATGATCCGTCCAACCGGAGGTACTTATACTTCCGGTACTTCATGTAGTCCTGCAAAATAGTTCCACATGTAAACCAGGAAACTCGAAAATGATTCCAAACCTCCAAAATGTTTAGCATCTTTGTCATTTGTGCAAAAACAAGGACTCGATGTTCCTCAGCTCGTAGTCGCCTAAATAAGATGTCTAAAGCTTGTAGCTTCCCAGAGTCCTACATCAACAAATCGTAAAGTTACTACGTCTAACTTCTTCAAAAGATTACTTACCATGAGGGTCCGGGCAAAATCAATCGTCTGCAGAGGTGGCGCAGAACCAAAAATTTGGAAAGAGCTTGTCAGCAAGCAGTTTTGACCATGCACCTCTTTATCTATCTCTTGAATGAGAGGGTGCGGATCGAGTGGCATGGAAGGGCCATTAAACTCGGACGTGCGGCCAAAACCGACCAGAAGCCGCTTTATATATGGGTTGTGGAGCTCTTCCGCTCTTTGATATGCAAATGAACGATCCGAACACAACTCTTCAATCTGTAAGCAAATAAGTTACTTCAAGGACATGATAGCAGAGCCTTTGCATACCTGAGGAGCAAGCACTGGTGGAATAAACGCTTTCACAGAGCGAAGAAGCTGTGTGTTGCCAGTTAATCGTTCCTCCAAGGGAACAGCTAAAGCTTCGAAAGGCTCCAGAGTAAGACCGACAGCTCTTTTCCGCCGTAAAAGGCCAGACTCACTGGGAGTGCGTACCAGAAGTAGCCTCTTGATGGCTGTTACTCTTGGATCTGAATCGTCGTCATCATCTGGCAGAGCCGTCCGCGATTGCAGTACCCCATACTGACATCGTTCCAAGATAGTTGCGTTGCTCAAAAATGATACTTCAGAAGATGACGTGTTCATCAGCCTTGTAAAGCCAAATGAACCACTTGAAGACTGCCCAAAAGATACAGCTGATTTGTGAACATTTTCCGCAGAAAAAACGTTCATCAAATTAAACAACCATTTTTCTTGGAAGCCTTGGGCAGAACTACGCAAACTCGTGATACCATCTCGATAAATAAGCTTGGGTATCTGTAAGAAAACCAGCAATTCTTTGAATGAAGATAATTCGTAACGTACCTTAAAAGCTATTGGATTGTGATTTCCAAAACAATACAAATCCTCTAAATCCCCAAAGGCTGCCGGCAAGAGATGGTTAACACTTGCTGCAAAGTGAAAGTACGTGCGTCCTTCATTTCGTTCAAAAAGCTCGGGATGGTTGCAGACCTGGACACTAACGTAAGGCGGGCGAAATTCAGCTATACGTGCTCTTACCTTGCGTAGTTGAATTACTATATTCATAAGATTTACGACCTTCTTCTCGTTTAGATGGCCTCCGTCAAAAAGATCAGCTATAGAGATTTTGTTCTTCACAGCTTGATATATAGCTTGCTGACGAGAGCTAAGTAGGCAAGGCACAACAACTTCCTTCTTTTTTGTCAGCTCGGAGACAACATCCTTTTTCACACGCCTTAACATAAACGGTTTTAGAATCGCATGCTGGAATCAGAAGTATCTTAGCATAATATGGCAACGAAAAGAAGAGACTCACCAATCTATTTAGCTGATGTTCATTTAAAGTACCTCCATGCTCTGCATGGTTCTCTATCCTGAGTCAGTGGCCCGTTAGTATAGACTATAACGATATTTTGCAAGAATCTTACCCTTTGGAAAACCATTCATTAAACTGTTCGTGACTATCAAAAAGCGTTGGCATAATAAAATGAAGTAGCGCCCACAATTCTGCCATGTTATTTTGGATTGGCGTTCCAGTTAATAGTAAACGATTTCTGCAACTAAAACTCAACAGAATTTTCCACCGCAAACTGAGTAGAAAGAACGTCAGGCATGAATTGTAGAAAAAATAAAACGACAAATTGAAAACCTGCTAGCACTTTTGATCGCTTGCGCTTCGTCAAGAACTAAATACTGCCACTTCACACGCTTAAAATACTTCTCATCCGACACCAGCAGTTGATAACTCGTTATTAGAATGTGAAAGCTCGAATCCCTGCCAAAAGACCAGGAGTTACGCCTTGGACAGGAATTTTGGTAAACAGACCTTCGGTATAGCCTCTTCGGGTTGATGTTCTTCCTCAACACTGTCCGCTCTTGCAACCCACCCCAGTAAGGAAGGATCTTCAACTCCGGGCAGAAACGTTTGATTTCATCGGCCCAATTGTTGAGAACAGTTGACGGTGCAACAACTAGGAACGGACCCCATATGTTCTTTTCTTCCGCTAGATGCGCTAAGAAAGCCATTGCTTGGATCGTCTTTCCCAATCCCATCTCATCCGCCAAAATTCCATTTAAACCCTGTAAGAAATGCAGGTAACAAGCTTTCGTCGCTACAATAAAACCGACAGCACCTGCTCGTAGCAGTTGACAAGCCACTGCAGGCCTTTTAGCTGGTATTCTTTCAAGTTTCCGTGAAAGAGTGACGGTTGATCGACGGATGATGTTGTAGGCATAGTAGATCTGGAAAAATAGAGCGTCAACCTATGACAAGTAGAATGCGCAATGAACTTACGGATGCAATAAATCGATGTTTTCGCCATGTCCTCGGGCTTCCTCCCCAGGTCCAACTTCCCGTAGCTTTGAGCATTCGTTGTCGAACATATTTGTCTTCTCTTTCTGTTCAAAAGCAGCTTTCTCGGCAGCTCTTAAAGCCTCTTCTCTCAGAGCCGCTTCCTCTGCTGCATCGACTGGACCTTTTGATCCAGCCGGATCAGTTTCAAGCTCTAGAGACGCCTTCTGCCCCGTCAGCTTGTTCTGCATGAAATGGCTATAGAGTTCTGTTTGAGTGAGCAGAAAGTTAAGACGTTGCTGCTGTCTTCTAGCTTCTCGAAACTCCTCGTCTCGCTTTAGAGCTTCAGCAGCATCCTTCTCTTCTCTTCTTCTGACTTCGGCCTGAAATAAGAGTTCAAAGTTAGCCAAGCCACAACGAAAACAGGAAAGACGCTCACTTGTTCCTTGTCCAGTTTCCTCCAGAAATTAATCATGTCACGCGCAAGCTTTCTGTTCCGAATTGGCGCATTTTTCATTGCCCTCATGATTTTCGTGTTTCGAAGCTTAACCTGAGAACACACGAGAGAAAGTACGTAAGAACTAACGTCAAACCATCAATAAGTTTACCTCTTTTTGACAGGCATCCGTCAAGCGTTTACACTCAGCCATTTGCTTCTTGTGATAAGTTGTGAAGGCCTTGAAATGCTTAGGCAAGTCCCTTTTCACAAGGCTGACCCAGAACTTCGCAACCTTCTCAACATCCTCGTGCGCAATCTCTGTGGCATTCTTCGTCGTCGCTGGCTTCCTTTGTATCCTTCGTTGAATGACCTCATAGCCATCGCCCCTGTCAAGAACTTTTATGTCGTTCACCGGTAATTGCTTTTCTGTCCCCTGCTTCGTGACTGGCATCTCATACCCATTGATCAACCTTGTGGCCTTCTCCGCATCCAGTACACGTAGAGGAAATTTCGTCCTTGATGTGCCAGTCTTGTGCTTTACCACCACCAAAGGAACCGGTTCCTTCCCCAGTCGTCGATCAGAGGCGATGATGGCCGCGACGCTTTTGGACGTCACAGGTCCGCTAAGAACGGATTCCTCAACCTGGATAGACGCCATGCTCGGCAGCTCAATGCTTTGAGCCAGCTGCTCGTAAAATGGCGGAACCAAAAACTTCAACCCCTCTCCCAAGTCGAGAAGTCGTTCATCCTGTAAAACCGACGAATCGGCTTGTGAAGATCCCGCGACTGCCACCACCCCGGCCGTGTCCAGACACCTTCCCACAGCATTTGATGTTAGTCGAGCTGCGATGGCTTCCTTCAAACAAGTCCGCCTATACTTTTGCAGATGCTCTCCAAGCAGACCCCTGTAATGCTCCTCGGATATCTGGACGCAATTGTCATCGTTGCTATCGGCATCGTCGCGGCATAAAGCCGCACTGCCAGCCTCGGCTTCCACTTGGACTCTTTTTCTTTTCAGCGTCATCTCTGCTTGGGAGCTCAGTGGAATTTCAGCTCTTTCCTCTTCCAACCGAAGCCTGGAGCTTCCTTCTGTAGAGCACACCACGACTTTGTTAGTCGAAACAAAACCACCGAACCAATAACAGTACCATCTTCTTGCTCCTCCAAGCTCGCAAAGTCATCCAGCTCCTCGGGAATGTGAAAGTTTAGCAATGGCTACGAGCAGAAATTTCTCTTAGCAAAGGCCAGCCACAGTCGATCGACAGAATCCAACTGAAAAACTCACCTCCAAATTAAATAAGTCATCGACGGAATAGCTACACCCTTTCAATTCCCACTCCTCCGTCCTGTACATTGCGCGAATCATCCATGAACCGCAAGAATCGCAGGAGAAATCACTCACCCGTTCTGCGAGGATGCCGGCATCGTCATCGCCGTGCGCGAATCCTCGCTCCCCGCATTCGTTCTCGGCAGCGCCTAGGCGGAGGACGAAGAAACCCTAGTAGGGCCGCAAGGCAGCGCCATAGCCAGAGCCCTAGGGGAGGACCTTGTTGTTGATGCCATGGAAGGGGTTGGCGCGCCCTAATGGACGGAATAGGGCCAGGGTGGGCGACATTTTGGGCAGGTGGCCATTTGGGGGGTCCTAAGTCGACGTAGTGGTAGTAGTAAAGCATGGTGGCCATCGCTCGTCTTCTTCACCCCTTCTTCCCAAACAGTCCCCTCCAAATTTAAAGTGCTTCGTGTGAACGCGGCTTTTATACTCGCTTCGGTTCGATTCCATTCCCTCCCACCAAACAAACTTCATTTCGTCATCAATCGGAAAAAAGAAAGGAAAAAACAAAAAAGTTGTCTTTGGTTTTTATTCCTTGTTTCACAAAAAATATTTTCTTTTCTATCTTTATCAATCAATTTTTGAAAAAAAAAATGGTGAATTACTATTTTCCTTTGAAAATGTATTTTAATTATCGAAATTTTATTTCATTGTGTGAGTGCATGGACCTCACATTTGGTTTTTATTCCTTGTTTTACAACAAATCTCTTCTCTCATGAGCATTTGTGCTCGCGATTTACAAAATACACACTTCCAATCCAACACACTTGCGTGCCTTCTTTGTTCTTGTGAACTTCCTTCATCTTGGAACTCGGCAATTGCTGCGAATGATCCCCTTCGGGGCGAGCAAAGGGCTCAATTTCCCCATCTTGATCATAGATCCCGCGAAGTTGCTGAAGAACTTCGATTGATCCGCGCTGTATGCCTTGACGAAATTCCTGGCCACTCCGACTGTGTTGAAAAGCACTTGATCTGAGTGGAGCAGTCCCTTTCCCAGGACGAGATTGAGGTAGTACTGATTATCAAATTTGTTGATCGTGGTTGCGTCCAGGGGCTGGAGCGAGCTGAGACTCCCAGTTTGCGGGCATTTGGATTGGAGCGCGGAGAGAAAACTAGGGCGAATGCTGGGATCGGGGCTGCCGCTGCCGCTGTCATTGAAGATCCTCGACACAAAAGCGAGGCATCGCGCCTGGCCGATCGAATGCCCCCCTGCAATCGTGACAAATTCTCGCGAATTGGATGCGAACTTTGGAAAATTTCATCTTACCAGAGAGTGTAAACATATCTTCCGCTGTGAGCCCAACATCTGTGAAGGATTTGATCAATCCATTCACGTCAGAGAAGAAACTGGGCAGTCGATTCGTAGCTCCAGAGAAGCTCGCAGTGATGCTATCTCGTCGCCCCAGTGGCACTTCCCACGACGGCCCGCCACTCTGCGCTCAAATTCCGTGCAGAAACAGGGGAATCCATAAGAACTCCACCGAAAATCACTAGAATTTCCTACCAGGACGACAGAATCCCGAGCTGCGAGCGCGAGGATGTCCGCGCATGACACGACCCCCTTGCAGCTGCTCTCGAGAGACGATTTAATCGCGTCGATTGCTTCGAATCCTCTGATGGAATTGTTGTTGGGGCCGGCGGTCTTCTCCCCCTTGAAAGTGGGAGTATCGTCCAGCAACACCGACGCATCACACCCCTAGAAAATTTCAAATTCAAACAGGGGGACGAATCTTAGCGGTCGGTTGTGCCGATCCAATGGACGAGAAGGCGACTTACTTGGACGAAGCAGTCGTGGAAATGGAGACGAAGAAGCGACGCTGGCAATCGCGAGTCGGACTGCGCAGCGTTTGCGACCCCGGCCTTGACGATCTTCTCGACTTGCGGGCATGTCGAATCGTAGTAGCCAGTCGCGAGCGCCGCCTCCGCCGAGAAGGCCAGAGACGAAGTAGCGATCAAAAGCAGCAGGAGAGAATACGTAGAGATCATTGTCAATCACGAAGAACAGAGGGAAGAAACTCTTTTAAGAAACTTCCAGTGTTCTTTAGTGTGCGTCCTCTTTTGGATCGCTAGATTGCCAATGGAGCTCCGAGAGCTCCCAAGTTCTTAATATTACTCTAAAGAACTCTAGAAAGCTATAGCTATGCAGTGATCCCGAGGTGGCCTTTTGCTGACTATCCTGGGTCACTAGCAACGTAGAAGACTAGAATTCAACGATGGAGTCTCGACTTCCATGATTTTTCGTTATATATACACTATACTAGCTGTATGGAAAGCGATCAAACTACACAGTTAGTTCTAGAGTCGCCAAAACGAGGTAAATTCACGGAGAAAAGTTCCAGCGCCAACGACAACACAAACGAGGTGCTCTAGAGCTTCTCATTCCTCTTTATTCGCTCTATAGCGTCGTCTATTGCCTCTGTGGTTGGCACTCCATCACAGTTGGATTGGAAATGGATCGATTGACAGGGGAAAGAAGAATCCTTCTCGTTCACTCAAGTGTATTTTCCTTCTTTAATTGGATCTATCTTTCAAGCAGTCTGTGGGGGCAAAGTTGGCGACTTTGGTTTGTCCCCTTCTGGTTGTAGAGAGGTCTTAGTCTTTGATTGCAAACGTAGCTTTGCCCTTATAACACCCCATCTTGATCGTCCTTATTCGTTAGTGGGCATCTTTTCCCCAACTCCACGGATAAAATTTCTGCCATAGGCCTTTCCATTCAGTTCTCCAGTTATTTCTTGGTGCCTCGTTAGCCTCAGTTAGTTGTAGTTAAAGAAGAGAGAAAAAACAAGAGGAAACACGAAAAAATTAGTTTAAGAATTCGGAGAAAAGAGAAGCTCTTGTTCATCCATGGTCCACTCTAGCCAAGCCGTCGCTGTTGGACGAGACATGAAATTATTGTACTCTTTTGTATCAGAAAATCCAATATTTGTGCTGGTTTTTAGGGCTTTTCTTGGAGATGGCGAGATGTTGCATTCTTAGTGCGTGGACGGACGAGTGGCCAGCTGACGACCTAGAATCACCGAAGCTTCGATGCCGTGGCTAAAATTTGGCCCCCCGACCAAATTCAAAGATTAAACTAGCGTTTTTTGGTTTGCTTAAGGGATGGTAGTGAATATATTTAGAATATATTTGAATATTTTAAAATATTCTATCATCTAACGGTTCCTATTCGTTTAGATTAATTTTATATTTGTAATTTATAAACATATTTATAATTTATAAATTTTCTTAAACCCTTTCTAGTATATTCTTTTTCATTCTATCATCAAATTAATCTTGTATAATTATAAACTTTATGAAACTACTATTAAGCAAACTAAGCGTACATGCAACATGTAGCAATTTATTTAAAACTTGATCGATACCTAAATTAGGGTTAGGGTTCTCTCTCAAGAGAAGAAACGATGCCGGCGAACAGGCCCCGCGTCTTCGGATTGTTCGTCTACGCGCCCATCAAATCATCGCTCAATTCCGTCATCAACAGGGCCTGTGCTGCTGGATTGGGCACAATGCTCATCGTGGGTAGCTTCGCGGTTCACAGCCCGATCATCTTCAGCGCGGCCAAGAGCACGGCGACCGGCGCCGCGCTCAAGGATGTCGAGGAATCGAAGAATGCGAGCTAGATCGCTGTAGATTGTTCCCAATTTCCTCTTTGTCGATTCGATCAAATAACAAAGAATGCTTCTTCTAAGCCCTCAAACCTCATAAGCCCTAGTTAGGGTTTTTGCCTTCCCTGATGAAAGTGGAGGAGGTGAGGGCGCTGGGGAGCGCGCTCCTCGTCTCCAGGGCCAATGTCAACAATTGCTCCACGCTCCTGTCGATCGTCTCCGCATTTTGCAAGCGCGGCGCTGGATCGTCCTCGTCTGTGGAATGTGTTCTCGAGGCTGTGCGGTGTCTCCAGGCGTTCTTTCTGCCCATTCTCTCGTCCCAGGGCGTTCTAGGGAAGCCGCAGAGCGACGGTGATGGCTCGGAGACTGCCGAGGCGATCTACAGAGCTTGGCTCAAGAACAAGTTTGAGGAGCTCATCGAGCTTCTTATTGCGATCGTGGTTGGGACCGAAGAACATCGACTCGAGGTTTTTCTCTTTTGTATATTTCTTCTTCATTCTTCACAGAACTCCTGTTCTTGGACGTAGAATGCGGCTTTGGATTCTTTGATGGAGTTGCTTCAAGCAAAGGATTGTCGTGTGGACAATGGAATCTACTTCAAACTCTGCTTGGCTTTGACAAGGAAATCGAGTGAGAATGTTTTCGATGCGCTTGCGACTGAGCACTGCAAGGATGCGACTCTCTGGTATGCTTCCCATAGTATTTTGCTAGAAACCACATAGTAACTTTTATACTTCAGCTTCTATACTGTGAAGAATTTTGAGAAGCTTGTGTCTGCTCGCCTTCAAACGTCCCAAAGAGGTTAATCTTTACTCGTATCTCTGTAGCAGCTCTGACACTATAAATTGTCAGGAGTGGATGCTACGTTGTCCAGCGACGATGATAAGAGCGTAAGGTAGCGTTGCGTGAACGTATCTAGTTCCTACTTGAGGAAGCTTTTTGCAGTGTCGATACCTTCACCCGTAACGTGTATGGAGTCATTTCACGTCTCTCGCCCTCCGTTCAAGAAATTCTAAGCACTAGTAAGGACATTGTTTCTTGGATTCCGTGGCTGAGCTTGTTTGTCCAGACAAGAAGATCACTGAAAACGCTTTGGATAAAGAAGTAAGTTCTGGAAGAATTTCCTTGGACTAATCAGCAGTATGTATTTTGACAGTTTACCATCAATCGATTCAAATCTAAAGTCAGAAACCTGTGGTTAAATTTCTTACAGCTTCCGCTACCTCTTGACGTCTATAAGATGGTGCGTGCTACTAGTTTCTCTTCCCTTAAACAAAGTTTCTTTTCGATGCAGGTGCTTGCTAACATGTCCAAGGTCGTTTTCTCTATAATTTCGAATCCAATACGTCTCAGGTTTCTCCATGTTATTCTTTTTTTATTTTTTGCTACATCGACTAACTCGGTTTGTCTCAGTGACTTTCTTACCAAGTCGTATGATCTTGGTGGGGTTTACAGCGTTTTGGCTTTGGACAGCCTGCATATTCTGATGACAAAGTATGGACTGGAGTATCCTGAGTTCTATGAGAGGCTGTACGCTTTGTTGGACCCGTCGATGTTTTTCACAAAGTACCGGTCTCGATTTTTTGAGGTATGTCACGTAAAGTATCCTTATCGTCGACGGAATGTTTATAAATTCTTGCAGTTGCTGGATAGCTGCTTGAGGTCTCCACTCTTGCCAGCTTATCTAGCCGCGGCGTTTGCCAAGAAATTAAGTCGCTTGTCACTACATGCATCGCCAGCAGGATCACTAGTGGTGATAGCTATGGTTCACAATCTTCTTCGACGGCATCCTTCGATAAATTGCCTTGTTCATCAGGTATTAACTCCAGCTTAAAGTTTAGACTAACCATTCGATCGCTTACGTTGTAGAGTTCTCGTTTGCGAGTTGCTAGTAAAGGTGAAGAAGATGTCTCGGACGCAAAGCTTGGAAGAGATCCCTACCTTGCAAACGAAAAGACATCTAATTGCCGCGCTCTGGGTAATGTGCTTCTTTTTTCTCGTGATTGCTTTACATTTCGTTTCTGTGTTTGCAGAGAGTTCGTTGTGGGAAATAGAAACACTTCGAAGGCATTACTGCCCTGCTGTGTCAAGGTAACGAACTGTCCTTTAACGAAAGAACTGCCAAACTCTAGCGTTTTTCCAGATTTGTGAGCACGCTGGAAGCTGATCTTACCGTCAAGAGGAAGACCACGGAAGTTCAAATCAGCGATTTTTGTTCTGGATCCTACTCTACTATCTTCAACGAGGAGGTAAGTTTTGTGTGTTCGCGCGTAGTTTTTTTTCGTGGCTAAGTGAAGGTTTTGCAGACAAAGAGAAGATTAAAGCAAGTTCCTCTAGCTTATTACAAGGTTGTCCCAAACGCATTGTTTTCCAACAATGAAGAGTTTGCGGGCTGGAGCTTCCCAAAGGAAAAGAAGCTCAAAGTAATGTAAGATCTCGTCCGTTAATGCAGCCGGCCCGACGGACGGCTCGGATTGCTTCCTGTCCCGCCCGTGGCCCAGTTTAAACTCTCTTTGGGGTTTTATGTAAAGCTATTGTCGTAGCAGCGATGGTGCTGACGAGGAAGCGCAGCGCCGAGCTCGCGTTCCAGGAGAAACTGTGAGTGAATCTATCGATTTTCTGGAAATCGATCGTTCTTGGATTGTTCCAGCTACAATGCGGACATCTGGGAGTGCATTGCGAGCTTCCTCGACGCGGCCGATCTAGCGCACCTCGCCCTCACGGCGCGGTTCTTCGTGCCGATAGCCATGGATGAGCGACTGTGGAAAGCGCTTTCGCTCAAGCGGCTCAAGATCGGCAGCGAGGCGGCGAAATTTCGGCCGCATTTCAGCTGGAGAGAGCTCTATCGATCGGCATTTGGTATGTACTCCTTGTGTCACAGATTCTTGTCCATGTTAACGCGATCGGTCTCTTGCAGTCACTGGAAGCCATAGCTACAGCATCCATGAACGCGAGAAACATCGAGGTACTCGTTACGTATACAGTCTTTCATTCCATGGTTACGTTTTCCTGTTCTAGATTGGATGCGAATAGGTGCTTTTACGCTCGTTTCCGGCAAGGCGCTCGCTGCTGGCAGGCTCTGGCAACGAATCTCAAAGTCAAAGAAGATAAAACTCGATGAGAGCTCGGCATTGTGCCTTGTGCCAAACGTGCTCCCTGGCATCTGGATCGCAGGTTTGCTTCAGTTCAAGGTTCCCTTCATCTATTCCTACGACGCTTTCATTTTACCTTTTTTTTTTTTTTTTTTGCTAGATCTTCATAGGATGCGCTGCGGCGGTTGTAACTTGCCTGCATGCACTGGTTTGGGAGAATTGCATTTTCATTATCTTCTTAGATGAGCTAAGCCTTGTTTGCAGGGAGAATGCAGACACTGGACTTTCGTAACTGGGAGTTGTTCCTGCACGAAGAGTTCCAGAACAGAACATGGTCCTTTAAAGAAATCGGAGTCAGGAACATCCGTGAAAACTGTGACGTCGCAGCTGGAGCAGTGTTCGATTACAAGCGCTTGATCGACAAAGACACTGCCAATTCAGGTATCCTTTCTTTTCTTTGTTTCTTTGTTAGATGTTTACTGCGGGCCACAGGCATTCTCAATTTCAAATCATGGACCGCGAAGAACGGGAACTATCAACCGACCAGCCGCGTCTCTCCCTTCGGTGCGGCTGGATGTACCAATCTTGAAAAGAATGGCGGTGCGTATAGCAAAAGACTTTTACGCTGTTGTAGAGTTTTAAAACCACACTTCTGCAGGTTTGCAAGTCAAGTTCTATGCCATGCATGCTGGGGTCGACGGGCCAGTGGTGGCCATTCGCGTTTCCCAGCAACTATTTTGACTGATCGAATAATGTGAAAGAAGGCCAAGTAACCTCTCCTTCCTTTCAACAAAGGTGACATCTTCTTCTTAACTTTTAGTAAGTGCCGTAAGTGAGAGCAACATCCTATCGAGGTTGAAACGCTAGAGTTCTTTGAAGCCGGTTTTACTTTGTGCTTTTGTTTTACAGGCTGAAAAACACTTTTGTAAGTTCCGTAGCAAAAACCAAATCGAGGTTGAAATGCGTGGAGGCGTTTCTATTTGTTTTTTTTGAAATCTTTGCATCGCAGGTTGCAAGTCTCATGTTCTCACGTCAGTCCTAAGACTGCTAAAAGCAGCTGGTCCCTTCGCTCTCTACTCGGAAGGAAAAACGAGTTGCTGATCCAATCGATGACTAGTGGTGGATGATGCTCGGCTTTCATCAGGATGATGGAGATCACCAGGGGATAGACTTCAAACCGTATTTCATTACCGACAGGCTTGTCAGTTTGAGCAGCTTCGTTTTGGGATTGTTACAGCTAACAGGTCCTCGCCGGGCGCCTCCTCCTCTGGCAAAGGTTTAGTTGAGGTTTTTTTTCTTCGTTTTCCAGTACCTCTCTAATCGTGGTTCTTATAGAATTGGAGCGCTGGATGTACGTGTTGTAAGCCACCACCACGTTCTTCGTGTAAGGTATGATGGCAGCAGCATATTCTAGTCTCTAGTTTCCCTCATACTCTAAGAATGTCAACTGAGGTTGCATGTACCTCGAGCGGCATTTTTCTTGATTTTTTCCTTGGCCTGCCTGATCGATTCTTTTGTATAAGATCCGCTCCAGTACGAGTCATCAGATTAGATGCATTGCACCTGCCCGTGATTTTTTCTCACGGTTTAGTTTAGTTTGCTTCCTTCTCAGTTACCAACCACCGTCTTTCTCTTAATCCTCTAGAGTCAAATTTTTGGGATCCAAAGGAATTGGTGTGAGTGGATCCACCCCCTAGTTGTTGGGGCTGTAGCTATTTAGCTACACTGCCCCACGGATGGAGATGGCCTCCCGAATGATAGGAGCCCAACCAACGGCTGCGATGCAAGCCAGAGCGCCCGAACGTTCATATTCCTTCTCGAGTCGCTGTCATGAAAGATTCCGCCGAGCTGGCGCTAGTGTCGCTCTTCGTGAGCCGTCGATGCTTGTGAGCTGAGGCTGTTGGACTGCGTAGCATGAGCCACGTGCATGGGATCGCCAAATGGCAGTTTCATTTTCTTTTTATTTGCTAGCAGTATATTCTAAGCCCATGAAATTATCTTTTACAGGACGTCCGGTCGGAATGGGGCTGTAGAACACACTCCTAAGATTCTGTGGGGGAGGAGCAATGGATTCCATGTAGCAGCGTTGCTGAAGGCGAGAGCGACGAGGTATGTGACAGCGTCTCTCCATTGAATTCCTGTGGTGCACAAGCTGTACGTCAAAAGTTTCCAAGGCGAGCTTCCGCTTTGATTGATCTCCTTCCCGTCGTAGTTACTTTTTAAGTTACAACCCGTGCTTTGAGCTTGGTTCCTATCGATTTCGACGCGGCCTTCCAATTTCCAAATCTACAGTCTGGCTGCTCCTGACAGACCAATGTTTGTCTCCTGTGTTGACACTTGGTGCTTAGCGTCTGCGTGTTCGTTTTCTCCTCGTGCTGCTCGTTCTGAATCTACAAATCTTTTTGTTTCAGGTTGAGAAGCCAGATTTCCTGAAAAGAATGTCTACTGTACACCTGCTTTTGCTGCTGCTGCTACTTCTTGTGCGGAGCCCGGTTCCCCTCCAGGCAGAGCACAACATCTTCGACAGGGGAGCAGGGACTTCTTTCTCTTCTGCAACCGTGAACAGGGGAAACAAACAGGTCCAGATGCAAGTGTGCATCACAATTGGATGCTGCCATCACGTGTGCAGACAATTCTCAGGAGAGAGTAGTAGCACCACTTCAGTAGAGCAGCAGCAGGAACCTCCAGAGCTGGCATCATTTCTTCAGTATGCCTCACCGCCGCAGCAGGAAGACGAAGTGTGTCAAGTTTTAGCCCTGGAGGAGCAGCGGAATGACAACGCCGCAGTCGTTCCCAGAAGTCTGGAGTTTAATCAGCAGGCCCTCTTCTCTCCGTCGATAAAGTTTCTGACTATACTGAACACTGACAACAGCTCCTGGATCAAAATTCTTCAGGCTACCAGCACAGACAAGCAGTTTTTTATCCAAGCTCTTGACGAGAAAAGCGTCATAGCTCCCGGCGAGAGTCTGACAGTGGCAGTTGTGTTCTTGCCCCGGAAGACTGGAATAGCCAGCGGGAAGATCCTCTTCCAGACCAGTGCTGGAGGCCTCGAAACTCTGGTGATTGGCGAAGCTGTCGGAAATTCTCATCAGGCTACGAGCTTGGAAGATATTGAAGCAGTCCAAGGCAAGCTCATCCAGAGAACATTAAGTTTCTACAACCCGGACGAAGAGGCCGTCGAAATCACGGAACTGCATGTCTGGCCTGGAGATTCTCACAAGAAAGCCCTCTGCTCGCCGGCAACTGATGAGTCGTCACCAACGGATAAAGTCTCCAGCTGCTTCGCAAATGGTTTCCCCTCGGCAATTCTCTCGAAAACAAAGGACGAAAAGTATGCTTCGCAAGGAATGCTAGTTTCACTAGAGAGGCTGGACGATCCGTGGATAATTCAGTCACGACAAGCTGCCGACATTGCTCGCCTCGATATGACCGTAAGCCGAGCTGGTGCCTGGGATGGGCACGTCTACATAAGATTCTCGCAAAGTGGCGGAGGAAAAGTTATGATTTTTCCATTGGGATTGCAAGTGTGCCCGGAAGACGGAACCTGCGAAAAAGAATCGTCAGTAGCTGCAACAAAAGTGACCAAGACCGCAAAGCAGGACAATGAAGCAGTGGCTTCCGGAAGCTGGGTACAAACCAACGATTTGATGGCACTCAGAATGGCGGAGGCACTCCTGAAGGTACGCCCCACGTAACTTTGAAGCTAGCAGCTTAAAACTCAAAGAAGCCAGCGGCCAACTTTGTGCAGGATTTGGCACATACGTTGTTGAGACAGCGAGATATCCGAAAAGGCGGGTTGGCTGCAAATCAAAACGAGCCAACATTAATTCCTGGACAGGTGCTGTCATTCGAAATGGTGCAAATAGGAGTCAAAGAAAAGATGTGGATCAACATAGTCAATCCGACGCAAGAGCCCATACTCATCAATCTCATACTTAACACGGAGGCCAAGTCTCGCAACTGTAAGTATAGAGCAAACTGGTTTTGGCAAGGCCACAAGCCACAGGTGCACAGAGATAGCTCGGTGTTTGCTTTCGACGCAGGCGCTGTGACGGAAGCAATCGTTCAAGGAGGTGGGAAGCTGCAACTCGGTCCATTGTCCTTTCGGACGAGGCAGAAATGCGACTGGACAGGACTCCTCTTCGTCAAGAACAATTTCACAGGTTTAGAGTGGATTCCCATCCGCGGGAAAGGAAGCTCCGCAGGACTAGTTTTTCTGGACGGAGGGTCTGCCGTCAAGAAGCTGAGCATGGCGGTGGAAGTCAGCGCAGGGACTAACTCAACTAGTCTTTCCGACGAACAGATTTGCAACGCTAGAGTTCACAAGAATTTCCAGGTGAAAAACACTGGGAGCGTAGTGCTGGAGGTCCGGAGGATAGACCTGGCAGAAGCACCGAGCATCACTCTTGGGCGCCAAAGTGGTTTCAGCCTAGCAGCAGGGGAAACGATAGACATGATGGTCTCTTACAAGCACGACTACCAACACGCAGGGGCAAACAAGCAGGTACTTAAAATGGTGACGAGCATTGGAACGATTAAAGCGCCGGTGGTGGCAACGATACGTCGAGAGCTGGTTTCCTTGTGCGGCCCGGACCCAACTTTCCAGGAGAAGGTCGCTTTGCCAGTTAGCGTCTGCGCTCTGGTCCTAGTTCTCGGGGTCTTCTCCTGGCTACTAGTCCAGGAACTTCCTCAGCAAACGACGCGAAGTAGTCCGGGAGCCAAGGACAAGCAGGCCTGGAAACACGTCGCCCGCATTCGGAATCTTTGGAAAGCAAGAGTAAAAGTCGTGGCTAAAAACGCAGGCGACGACAAAAGCAGGGAGAGGCAGGACCACGGCGTGCCGAGACCCCTCGGCACACGCATGCAGGAGGACGACAAGCTCCACGTCAAGAGAAAGCGAAAACCGAAGAGCACGTCTTCGCCACACAGTAGCTCGTCCTCCCCCGGGCCGGACAGCCCCCATTCGAGCTCCGAGTCGGAGCTAAGAGTCCCGGCCATTGAAAGGATCCTCATCTCGTCCAGGTTCTCCGAGCCCACAATTCCCCCGAGGAAAGCCAAGCCACGGGTCACTCTTTCGAGCAAGGTGGCGGACAAGGAACTCTCGAGTAAGAAGCCCACGGCAGTGGACAAGGAACCGGACTTCCACGCTGCATGGGAAGGAAAGAAGCTCGCAGTGAGAATCCCGTCCAAGGAGGAGCCAGTCGATCCACCCGGCCGCAAGACCGAGAGCGAGGAGCTTCGCGCGGCATGGGAAGAGAGGAAGCTGGCAGTGAGGATCCCGTCCAACGAGCCACTGGAATCGCCCGGCCGCGCGACTGCCAAGACGAGAAGATCCCCCGCCGCTAAGAACAAGGATGGCAGCAGCCAGGAGAAAACCATCACCACTTCCAAATGCGAGAGCTTGCCACCAGCGATGCCGGACGAGAGAACCGTACGCTTGGGAACTCCTCCAGCCCGGACTCCTGGAGTCCTGGGCCAGCAGCTCCGAGAAGCTTGGAGAGACGATCAAGCCACGGCTGCTATGTTCGTCGCCAGCCCCGCCAGCTCCACCATCCCCGGGAGCTCCTCCAAGCAGCTCTCCTCGATCGGGCAGCTGAGAAAGGCGGCGATCGAGCGGACCACCTGAGAAGCTCCAGCGGCGCGAGGCCTCACAGCACACCGATAGCCTGTACGACATATGGGGGGATCACTTTGGAGAGATCTCCAGCACGCTGTCCACGCCCATAGGCAGCCCCGGCCACTACACGCCTCATGCCACGGACCAGTCACTCTTCTCGCGCACTCTTCCAGCCATCTCCAGCGCCGCCGCCAGCCACTATGGGTTCCAGGAGGAGAAGCTCGCTTGGTCCGCCGCCACCACGGCCACCACGGCCACCACCGCCACCACCGCCACCTCCACCACCACCATCGACAGCGGCGACGAGAAAGACGATTCTCTGAGCTCGGAAGAACTGGCCAATGCTTGGAATTTGCTTGGCTTCTCTCCGGTGGACGCGTACGCCGAGCCACCATCGCCGCCGCCACCGATCTTCCTCGAGTGGAACGCGGAGTCGATATACACCACCATTGTCTCGTAGCTACAAAGCTAGCTCCTCGAGGGGTCATATAGATCACTCCAATGTAATGTAAAGACAATATATTCGATCGATGATTTCAAAGAGCTAGACCTCTGGTGGATGGACGAGCTTGGCAGATCTTTCCTCCGAAAGAAAAGAAGCTTGCAATCATTGGCAAGAATGCCTAGAAGAGGTGTATCTTCCAAAAGTTTGTTTGGACGAATCTACAAGAACACGCTCGTCATACAAACAAAACAAAACAAAAGGAGAGAAAGAAAGACAAACACTTACATTTCTTCCACGATCGTAGTTTCGCGCCATCCAAGCTCGAACTCTGGAAAAGGAACTTAGAAGAAGTTTTCGCGCTCTCAAAGTTCCAAAGCTTCCATCCCCGGCCGTGCTCGATCGAGTGAATGATCACACACTGCCAGTGTCAAGCAATGGAGTGGCGAAAGCTCCTGTGCGCCAAGTCGTCCGCGCAGTCGGGCCCCTGGTCCACGTACCACTTCTCCGCGTCTGGATAGAAGCCATCCACGGGCATCCCCGCGAGCGAGCTATCATCCGCCTCGCTCAGCGCTCCACACTCCTTGGGCCTCTGCTCGTAAGCCGGCGGCGAGGGAGCTTTCGTCGGGCTCTTGTTGTGGACGATCTTCTTCGCAGCCTTTCTTCGTTTCTGGAGCGAATCCATCACGTCGCTTGCAAACTCTGGCTTATCCTTCCCCAGGCTTTCCTGCCATGCGTCAAACACAGGCACGATCGCAAGCCTGTCGTCCCCCCTGTCCGAGCTCATCGAAGCCTTGAGCTTGAGGCTCACGCTCTGGAGCTCCTGCCCGATGCTACCGAGCGACTCGAAAGGTATCCGCGTGATCCTTCCCTCGAGAGAAGCCAGCTCCGCTCGCAGCTCACGAACTTTCCTCAGAGCCGACGCATGCGCTTCCTCCGTCACCTTCTCCAGCAGCAGCCCCGACACCTCCGTCATGTTGGTCGAATCGATCAGCTGGTTTATCACCATCCCGGTGGACTCCTGCGGGCCGGGATCATGCCCCGAGTGGACAGGATACAGCTTGAACGTCGCGGACCCTTCCTCCTGGTACGTGAAACTCTTGTCCTTGTAGCTGTAGTTCGTGATGGGAACGATCGCCCGGATGCGAAAGCCGCAGCCGCAGCGATTAGAGATGAACTTGTTGTTGGTTTTTTTCTTCCCGGTCTTCTTCACGTTTGGCTCGCCGGCGCGGTGGCAGCAGTAGTCCTTCACCTCGGCTAGAAACGGCTTGTAGCGGATGTACTTCTGGCGGATGCAAAGTATCACCTTGTACTTGGCGGCGAGCTGCTGGAGCCGGTGCGGCACGTCCTTGGCGAGGAGCTCCATCGTCTCGGTGTACTCGAACCTCCTCCTCTTGTGGAGGCCATTGTGATCGCCCTCCGAGTTGCAAACCGGGCAGGCCGAGACGCAAACTCTCACGTACGACTCTGGAATGCCGTAGAACTTGGCACCCACCGTCCACACCTGCTTGATCCGGTCGATGGTGTCTTTCAATCCCAGGTGCTTGAGATCCGCGTCGGCGTGGAAGCCCTGGACGATCTCCTGCCACTGGTCGATGTAGGGGACGAACTGCTGAGGATTGCTCTTGAAGTAGAGGAGCTCGTTGCCGTGCTCGTCCACCTGTGCGTGGAGCTTGTCCTGGATCCTCTTCCACCCGGTTTGATACGCCGTGTCCTCGTGCCGGTCCTTCCACACCGCTCGCCAGGAGGAGAGAATGGAGGTCGGGGTGGCGAGCTTGATCTCCTCCGGGTGGGCGTAGCGCTTGGCGAGCACGCACTGGACCATGAGCTGGTGTGACGCGCGATTGAATGTGTAGAACTGCGTGGAGACGAATGGCTCCGGGTCGACGACTATGGCGGAGATGATCTGACCTTCGTCGCCCTCGAACTCCGGCTCCGAGAAGAGCTCTTGCTGCGTGTCCGGCGCCATGGACGCCATCGCCACGGACCTAATTTCGATAGAACCCTAAACTCTCCTCCCTGAGATTTCCAGCTCCACAGCCTTAGATCATCGCCATCGCGCCTGCCAGGCACCTGGATCCTTAGATTATCGCAATCGCGCCTAGACACCGCCAATCCAGTGGATCCGGCACGAACGGCATGCTCTCCAGCAGATCCCTCGCGCCCGCGAGGTATTTCGCGCGGCCCAGCGCATCGATCACGCAGCAGTGGTGCTGCCTCGTCGGCTGGAGCGCGTAATCCACGGTCATCGACCGGAAGCACGCCCTGGCGCGACTGAAATCTCCAACCCGGCTACACGCCGCAAGGACGCAGCTGAAGGAAGTGTCCCTGGGATCGATAGCCATCGCCGGGAGCGCGAAGAAGAGATCGATCGCGTCGAGAGATCTCCCGCCGTGGAGGAGCGCCGCCAGCATTGCGTTCCAGGAATCCACATTGTGGCCAGGCATCCGCAAGAACAGGGTTTTCGCCTCTCGAATATGCCCGTTCCGAGAATATGCCGTCAGCATTGCTATCCAGGAGACGAGATTCCTTTCCTCCATTCTATCAAACGCGAGCTTCGCGTCGGCAAGACGCCCTTCCTGGGCAAATGCGTGAATCGCTGTCGTCCACGTATAAACATCTCTTTCCTTCATTTTTTTAAAGGTATCTCTTGCACAGTCGGAGTGCTGGTTATTGGTATATGCCGCGAGTAGCACGTTTTGGGCGATGAGATTCCCATCGCTCAGGCAAAGGGCATCTTCTAGATGCCCATTTGAGGCATATGCTGCAAGCATAGCATTTCTAGATATGGCATTTTCCTCCGGGCAAGAGTCGAATATTCGTTTGGCTTGCTCTACGCGGCCAGCTAAGCTGTAAGCGTTGAGCATTGCAGTGTGTGCCACGACGTTTCTCTCCAGCATGGAAGAGAATATGCTCTTGGCATCCTCGAGATGCCCTTCCCGGGCATACGCGACTATCGCGGCCGTTGATGAGAAGATGTTTTGCTCTGGCATTTTGGAAATTAGGGTTCTTGCGTCGCGCAGGTGCCCGGCGGTAGCCAGGGCTTCCAGGAGGATCGTGAAGGAGACGATGTCACGCCGCGGCATGGCTCTAAACAGGTACTCGGCCTCGTCGACGCAGCCGGATCGAGCAGCCGCCGCGAGCATCGCATTCCAGGAGACGACATTTCGCTCCGGCATGGATTCAAAGGCGCGCCGCGATTTCTCCAGGATCCCCGGATGATCGCCGCAAATGATCATCGCGGTCCAGCACACGATGTCGCGCTCGGGCAGGGAATCAAAGAGCTCCCAGGCGGCGGCGGCGTGGCCGGACTGGGCGAATTCTCGCAGCATCGCGGTGCTGGACACGAGGCAGTGCTCGGGCATGGAATCGAAGACGCGCTTGGCATCGGCGGCGCCATGGGCTCGCGCCAGGCAGCACAGCAGCATCGACCAGGAGATCAGATTCCTCTCGCGCATCGCCTGGAAGAGATCCTGGGCGTCGCGCAGATGCCCGTGCTCGGCAAATGCGGCAAGCATCGCGTTCCACGACACAAGATCGTGCTCGGGCATTCGATCGAAGAGATCCTTTGCGCGATCCAAGTGGCCAGCGCGTGAGAGGGCAGTGATCATCGCGGTCTGGGACCTGAGGGAAAGGCTTGGCTCCATTCTTAGTCTCTGACGACCGAGGCGCGAATTTAAGTGATCTATATATGGTTTAACCACCAGGATTGGAATTTAGGAGGAATTGGGTGACATAGGAGGGTGGAGACAATCATCTGGGCAGTTTATTTAAATCCCTCATGATTCTTGCTTCTCATGCTTTTTGGGTGGCACTACAAACCATGTAAACAAAATATGAATGATGAATGAGTGAATTTATACCATTGCATCAAGGACTCCAACTATTATCCTGGCATGGTATGTTACCGACTTAATTATGGCAAGATTTAAGATGGCATCACAGAAACCTAAAATGACGTGAGCTATCTTTCTGTCTAGGCTTAGCCCATTTAACTCGATCTAGCCATTGGTAGGCGTTAGATTGAATTACAACTGCCAGGTTCTCCAGAACCCAAGTTCTGGAGAACCCTCTCATCCTCAAATAACATTATGCTTTCACCATATTGTTAAGGCCATTCCTCGGTCATGGGCTCACTCGTTCCCTCCAAAACACTGGTCGCCCTACCTGGGAACTCCTTCATCAACACAAGTACATTGCTTATTTATCAGTGACAGATGTGCTCACATTCAGAACCTAAGCACTAATATAACATACAACTACTTAAAGGAGACAGATTCACTCATTGAATATTGGAGCACCATATAGGATGCTAATACCATATGGAATGGTGGATGCAGACTTAACAGGGGATTTAGATGATAGGTGATCTACAACTGAGTACATTTTTTAAAAGTTTTCTAATGCTGTTGTTCCTGGCACAGTTAGAAACAATGAAGAGTGGCATTCTCAATATGTGAAGCTGAGTACTATGTAGTGACAGAAGCTACCAAAGAAGGACTTTAGATTTGGAAACTCTTTTGAGACATCAGTCTTGAAATTCAAGCACCAACAAACATCTACAATGATAACATGGCATGCTTGTAGTCCATTCTGAATGTAGCTATAATGATAAGAGGAAAAATCCAACACTAGGAACTTCTACGCCTTCAAGAATTGTTTCCAATACATCATGGGAGGAACAAGCCATTCGATATGTTCCACGCCCTCATTTGTGACAGGATTCAACATGGTTTCAGATTTGCTCATAAAGATTACACTCACTAAACAATTCAGGATTTGGCAACCAAGATTATTTATTCAATCTCCAAAATCAGATGAGGGGAGTGTTGGAGCCGAATCAATATAGGATGTATATAGTCTTAGGGTTTCAATTCATTTTATCACTCCAATGCTCAGAGATTCAAGGTTTTCAGAGATGACATTATTAAGAAAGACTTCATCAACCTGTACACTAAGTTTAACTTCAACCAAGCCGACCAAGTGTTCTAGGATATCTCACCAGACATGGCTTCCTGGAACTCGATTATGCTCTGCTCGAACGCTAGAGCTGTTCCTTGAGATGCAGCTACAAGGAATTGCCCTAGAAGTAGTCTTCAACCAGCCCTAATTTATATAGTCGCGAACTGAAGACGTGGCCTTAAACTGAGAAGCAGATGATGACGTGTCTTCCAAGCGAAATCCAATGCCTGAAAACTTAGGAGGATTTTGTTCTTCGACGCTAAATGCGACGATAGACAAGGAGTTGGAACGAGAGGAACAACGCCACGCAGTGGAAGACTCAAGTTGTTTGGGCGAAGTTCGAGACGATGACGAAAGCTGGGTGTCTTACTGGATAGAGTGCGTGTGGGAAGAGACGAGTGTCTGAGCTCGTCTGCATTGCAATACGATTTAGTGAGTGCTAAGGACGATGCTGGAGCTGGAATATCACCCACTGTTAAAGTCTGGAGCGCAATGTGCTGATGACGCTCAGCTCGCTAGGTTTGCCAGTGCGTTGCGGAGCGAGGAATGATCTGCAGAGAAAGATGGAAGTTCAAAGCTCACGAAACATAGCAACTACTGGTTCCGGCTGCACTGAAAGGAAAGAGGCTGCTTCAACAGTAGGAGAAAAACTTGCCTCAAGGAAAGAAAAACTTGAAACTCTCCCTGTTGTGACTGCTGAAAGAGAAGACTCGACCAGAAAAAACAGAAAACCTCACAAACATAGAACAACCACTTCATGATACGGGAGCAGCACTCAACGCTTGGGCAACTTGGAGCGAGCAGAGCAACTCTGGGAGCTCATGTCAGCAGAGGCAGGAGTGGAGCTCGCTGTTGTCTCGTGTAACACCTTGATCAATGGATATTTCGAGGCCGGGGACAACGAGCAAGCGCTGGCCGTCTTCTTACAACACGCTTGTCAAGGTTTACGGACGATGACAGCTGATCCTTCTCTGGAGAGAGATAAACACTCGATCAGCGGACGAAGACAGAGACAAACCTTGGTGGTGGGAGCCGGATGCGGCGCTGCATGACAGCCTCATCGACTAATTCGTGCGAGGGGGATATTTTCAGCTGGTGGACTGCATGGATCGGCAGGGAATCTACACGGGGCGAGCCAAGGCCAAGTACAAGCGATAGCTTTATGCAAACCTTTACACCATCCGAGAGGAGAAAGGCCAAGACGGCCGAGAGGAGACGCGCAGTGGAGGCGTTTATGTTCTGGGTGGGAACCCTTTCGAGTAAGAAAATCACAAGCTTACTTGGAAATCCTTGGAGATGAGGACGGGCAACGAAAGAAAATTAGATATCTTTGGAAAATCTCACCTGGAGGTTTTATCAGCTACGAGACGATGGAATATCTCACCTGGATGATGAGACGATGTAGCTCCGATCCTTGAGTGCTACATTGTCCCTGGTAGATCTTGGAGTGTCATCAAGGATTTGTTGACGTGCGTTCCTTTTTCGAGACGAACACCAGCAGCCTCCGAGCCTGCAAGATCTTTGAAAAACAAACAGCTTACCAAAAAACGATTTTTAAGAGGGTAATCCATCGTCTCGACCGTCGTTTCTTTTGTCCCTGCTTTCAATTACCTGTTACAAATATTACCTTCTCCAAATCAAAGACCTGATCTGGACTGCTCACAATCTCTTCACTTTTCAGTGAAGCCTAGATCAAATATCACGGATTTTTCATGTATCCGAAGCTTCAGGAGCAAGCAAGTCGTTGATTTCTTCCTCGTACATTCCCATGTGTATCTGCGAAGATATGTTCCACAAAAAACACAATTATTTGGTACTGAAAACGTCGCAGAGCACAATGACCCACGGATTGTATAGGTTTTGCCACTGCCATAAGCAAAACAAAAACGAAACTCCTGAATCCTTGAAGCCCAGATGAAACGAGATCCTTGGCATGGATTTCATACCACACTCGCGTTGGTCGAACATGTAGGATTGACCCAGCGCAAGAGCGCCGAGCGCATGCGATCGTTCTAGCGCCCCATGCCAGTGCGGCGGCGCTCACCCGGATCGACCGAAATCATCTGGCCTTTTCTGTGGATCGATAGAAAACTCCAGACCGCTCTTCCTCTAGGCGCGCGTTTTATGAATTGCGGAGGAATTGCCTGTCGAGGGTAAAAGGTGATTGCTTCATGGTAAAACAAAGATAGGAGTTTCGTCAGCTTGTCAAGATTAAGAGCCGGCCTAGCTCAGCTGGTAGAGCGCAAGGCTCTTAACCTTGTGGTCGTGGGTTCGAGCCCCACGGCCGGCGAAACCAAAGCTATGCCATTGTTTCAGTTTTGCTCGTTTGAAAAATCTTTCATGATCCACAGAGTTTGCGGCTTGGAAAGTTTCTTGAGCTATGGGGATCTTCCGTAAGAAGATGCAGATATAACGCGCAGCAATTCGTCTACGCTGGCTGTATGGAAACCCAGAGGCCGAGGTAGAGGCACTCGGCTCCTGGAGGCCGAGAACTTGCTTGAGGTGAGGCAGATATGCGTGATCCTCTGCAAGCAAACCCACACCCCAGACAACTGGGAACCCAAGAACGTGACAGCCCAGGCGTTTGGAAAGTGGGGTGGCGTGGAGGAAGCCTGCCGCCAAGTCTTGGCATTCCGGGCAATCTTGGAGGCCTACATGAACAACGGGCATTTGGAGCCCTCGAGCAAAGTCGTCGTGGTGGATCCAGATGATGGCAGCCTACACTCGCTACGGCAAGGTGGCGGAAGTGAGCGAGGTCTACAAAGAAGGCCCTGGGGTGGAGCTTGCTGCTGATTGCGTAGGCGAGAAACGGGCTGGTCGACATGAGGCCAACGAGATGTTCCAGATCGTGGATTCCACGCTCGCGCAGGCAATGTGGCGGCAGCAAAGGAGCTGTTCGATTCCATGGCCGCCAGGTCTTCCGGGAGCTGGAACTCGCTCGCGCGGGCATATGCGGCGCTGCCCAGCCATTCGTGTAGTGTTTCTCGAGCTGGACAAGGGGCTCGCTGGTCAAGAAGTTGCCTAGTGTCTTTGACTGATGATTTTATTTGTGATCATAAAGAAGTTCAGCCTTCCCATTCTAAGGTGGACATTTTTTTTTTATCTGTAAGCTTTTCTTTTTAGCCTTCTCTCGACGATGATCTTAAGAAGAGAGATGAAACCCGAGAGAATCAAACGAGAGGTCACAGATAGTCAATGTAGTTGTGAGGGAAGCGAAATTTCCATAACTTCGAGAATTTTTGGAAGCTCTTCTCCAAGAAGAAAATGAAGAAGACCGATGTGTACAGGATTCACAGATCAAAACTTTAAGATGGAGTCCTCAGCCTGGGAGAGTTCATAGAGAAAGAAACCTTCTCTCATTTGTGTTTTACTTTTCTAGATGGGAGCTCTACTACGGTCCAAAGAGCAACAAGAAATTAAACGTGACCTTGAAAATGATACTGTTGCTGCTGGTATAAGGTACAAGCTTTTCGATGAATGTTTTGCTTTGCTAATTCCTCTGTCATGATGTTTGTCTTGCCGCAGGAAGAACAGCAAACTAGTAGGGGGAAATCCAAGGATGTGAAGGTTCCACTACATCTGGAACTTTAACCTTCAATTAACTTTTCTGATATGTATTTGCAGGTCTCTGTAAACTTTGGCCAAAATCAATTTGTTTTCGATGTGGAGGTAAGTTGAGGCTTGTATCGTCTACATCTAAATCTTCTTAAGGGTCTGCCAGGATTTGATTTTTAAAGGAACACGAGAAGCATCAGGCAGAAGTGGAAAACATTCCAGCATTGTGCCTGGATACTTGCTACATTCAAAAAACTTGGCAAGCTCGTCACTAGCTTCTTGAGCGTGAAAGTTTGCCGCAGAGAAAGGTCTCAAGCTTCTCGTGGTGTGCATGTTTGGCCCTCTCTTGCATCAAACCCTCAACATTAGTAGCAAATATCTGAAGGAAGTTGTAGAGGTTTCTTTGGTTTCCTCATGCAAACAAAATGTCTTGTTTGTGATGATCGGAATCCTCTGCTAGGTTCTTACATTCCTCTAGTGGACGTATGAGATGGTGCAAAATCTCACATTTTGGCAAAATGAGAGTGCTTTGGGGCGCTACTTTTGCATTGCACAGAGCGAGTGAGTTTTGTATTTTGTTTTTCTTTTCCTTTTTTTTAGGAAAAATAGGTTCACGCATTTTTAACGTCCATCTAGATCCAAATAGTTAACAATTGACAAAATAAAACAAATGGAAATCATCGGCTCATCATAGTCAATACCTGCTCATTGTTTATAACACTAACCATGCTTAATACCTCTCAATTCCTCCAGTTTCCTGATATTGAAGCTTGTGTATCTGGCCCTGTTGGTACAAATTCTAGAGGAACCAGGATTCATGAGTTGTTCTCTAGTTGAGCAGTGTACTCTCTGCTCTTATTGCACATCTCTTGGGTCCCATCAATGCTGCTTGAAGAGTAGCAGGTTCGTGAATAGCTTATGCGGCGTGAGCATGATACTGAAGAATTTTCCCTGTTGGTTTTCACATCAGGTGTGAGATCGTCCATTAAATGTGTGTTATAGCTAGTGTCTTCGAAAGAATGTACCATATCTTTTGCACAGCTGAAGTGCTGGTTCTTGGTCTATGCCACGAGTAGAGCGTTTTGGACGACAAGATTCCCATCGCTCATAGCTAAACTGTAAGCACTCAGTGATTTCTCTCCAGCATGGAGGAGAATATTCTCTCGGCCCATCCCGGGCATACGCGACTATCGTGGGCGCGCCACCTGCTAGATGGACGAGGTGAACCATTACGCAAATTCACTCATGTTCGTTTCCATACAGATCTATTTCTAGTATTGTAGTCCTTGATTCATTTATCATGGCAGAACTGAAGCTAACAATGGTGTCGAAAGAGTCTCAAGATTAGATCCAGGTAATTTTCTTGTTCCCAGAGGGATTCCATCATATCTCCAACGCTCTCGCCCCTACAAAGAAAACGCTTTGAACGAAAGTAAAAAAAAGCAAAACTGGGCACCGCTAAACGTTGACCTGTCTTTTAATTTAAACAAGTTGGCGCACGCAAGAGATTCGATAGAACCACATGACCAGCAGCGCAGCTCCGCTCCATCTCCATGACACGCTCCGCCACCGCCACGCCCCGCCGAGCATCGTTCTGGACCTGGCATCCTCCCAGCACCATCATCCACTGGAGGCCACCACCGCCACCACCGCCACCACCGCCGCTACTACTCTCCGAGAGCTCCTCCGCGATGCTCAATCGCCCCGAGCGACTGAAGAGATCAACCAGGCACCCCTGGTGCTCCGGTCCCGCTGGAACTCCATAGTCGATCGCCATGGACGAGAAGTAGAAGACAGCGCTCGCCGCCTGGCCCGAGTGGCTGCACGCCGAGAGGATGCTCACGAAAGTTATCCCGTCCGGAGGGATCCCTTGCAGCTGCATCTCGAGGAACAGCTCCAGCGCCTGCGCAGCGGTGGCGTTGCGAGCGTACGCTGCGATGATCGAGTTCCAGGATACCACGTCCCGGCGTGAGATGTCCTGGAACACTTGGTCGGCCTGGTTGAGGTTGCCGAGCTTCGCGTAGAGGTTGATGAAGCCGTGCTTGATAACGTCGTCTCGGAAAACCTGCGCCTGGACTGCCAGTGCTTGGATCGCCTTGCAGCTCTGAGCACTGGAGATAATCGAGCCGGAGGAGTTCGAAGACGCAGCAGTGAGGAAGTTGACGAAGCTGATCTTGTTGGGACGAAAGCCTTCCAGCTGCATCCGGTGGAAGATCTCGAGCACCTCGTCACCTTTCTCGGCTGCCACCATGAGAGCGTTCCAGGAGATCACGTCCCTCACGGCCATTGAGTTGAAAGCCTGTTGAGCAGCCACGAAGTCTCCACACCTCCCGTGCATTGTGATGACAGCATTTCCGAGAAGAAGATCTGCTTCTGACTCGTGTGATCCCAGTGACTTTGTCTCCAGGATGCAACTTAGAACAAGGTTTGCATCCCTCGGCGAAGAGCAGGCGTTGAGCACCGAAACGAATGTGGCTTTGCTCGGCTTCATCCCTTCTAGCTGCATCATCCGGAACAAGTTGAGAGCTTCTCCAAACTCGTTGTGCTGGATACACGCCGTGATAATCGCGTTCATTGCCACGAGGTCCTTCTCGGCCACCGTGTTGAAAGCCCGAAAAGCGTCTTCTACACTTCCACACCTTCCATACATGCTGATCACTGCAGTACCCAGCACTGTGCCTGATTCCCAGCCACTTCCAACCACCTGTTTGTGAACCTTCCTCCCGAACTTTAGATCCTGCGGACTCTCGCAGGCGTTAAGGATGCTCGCAAGTGTTATTTCATCCGCCTGAAACCCCTCCAGCTGCGTCGAGTGAAGAGAACGCAATGACTTCTCAGCCATCCCACTGTCTGCGAACGCTGCAACAAGTGCGTTCCACGACACGAATGTTTCCTCTCCGGCCCGAAAAACTGCTTGAGCATCTTCGACAGCTCCACATTTCCCGTACATCCGGATGATTGAAGCACGAACAAGCTCGTCCTCCAAGTGTCCACAGCAGTCGCAAATCCAGCAGTGGATAGCGCGTCCAAGCTGTACCAAGCCACCTTTAGCGCATAGATTCAAAATTAAAACTAAAGTCATACTGTTTGGTTTGCCACCGTTGAGCTGCATCTCTTGAAATCTCTGGATGGCTACTCCAACTTGTCCGCGCTCTATAAGCGCTCCCAGCAACGTGTTCCAGCTAGAAACATCCCGCTGGGAAATATTCGGACAGCTTTTGGCAGCTTCGTCCAGAAATCCGCAGCTCGCGAACATCCGAAACAAGCAGCCTTCTACTTCCGGATTCACATGAAGCCCAACGGCTTGCACGAGTTCATGAATTTTGTTGAGATGCGGAAGTCCTTTTCCCTGCTTGGAAAAAGAAAAGCTGTTTAGGACCGAAATGAACGTAACCCTGTCTGGAGCCATACCCTGGAGTTGCATTTGGTAAAAGAGTAGTATGGCGTCGTTATGCTGTCCGGATTCAGCACAGGCTGCTATCATTGAGTTCCACGAAACAGCGTCTTCATATGGTACAAGCTGACCAAATATATCACGAGCAGTTTTCAAGTCCCTGCAGCTCCCATACATATCAATTAGTGCATTTCGGACTACGAGATCAAGTTCAAAACCAGACGAAGAAATAAAGTTATGAACGAGCTTACCGGCTGGAAGAAAACTCGAGCTCTTGCATGCACCGAGAATCGCGATCAGCGCTATCTTATCCGCTGTTACGCCTTCCAGCAGCATCCTTTGGAAGACAACGAATGCCACTGAGTAGTAACCATGTTCCACCATAGCTGAAATCAGAGCACTCCAAGAAGCAACCACCGGGTGAGATATACTGTCGAAGGCATCCCATGCGGACGACAAGTTTCCAGCTCTGGAAAACATCTCAACCAGAGCTGTCCCTACTGCCACGTCGGTGTCGAAGCAACACTCGCGTACCAAGTCGTGAACCAGTTTAGCTCGATCACGCAGCAGCGAGCCCAGAATGGTGATGAAACTGATCTTGTCAGGCCGAATTCCTTCCAGCAGCATCTTCTGGAACAGCCGAAAGGCCGCATCGGAGAATGCACACTGGCCATAAGCAGCAACCATCGACGTCCACATGATCACGTCCCGAGTCCCACTTCGCACGCCTGCAAAAACCTTTGCAGCTTCTTCGACACCTCCACACCTGCTGTACATGCTCACGAGAGCATTTGCCACCACCGGATTGGATTCCATGTCTCCCTCACTGATCCAACCATGAAGAGTTCTTCCTCGAGCTAGATCGTCACCGCAGCCGCAAGACCCGAGAGCGTTCACGAACGTAAACTCGTTCGGCGAAATGCCTTCCAGCTGCATTCTCCGAAGGCAACAAAACGCTTCCTTGTGATGCCCCGCTTGGACATAAGCCGCCACCATGACTGTCCAAGTCACCACGTTTCTCGCCTCCTCGATCTCGTCGAAAACCGCGATGGCGTTGTCAAGCTCCCGGCATTTCCCATAGAAGTTGACGATGGCGGTTGCCACGGCGGTGGCAGCTGAAAGGCCACACTCGTCACTGTAACCACGAACTCGTCTACCTTCTTCCAAAGCCACGGCCTTGGTGCAAGCGTTGAAGACCGTGAGAAGAGTGATCTTGTCGATCGAAACCCCCGACTGGAGCATGGATTGGAAAGTCCGGAAGGATTCGTCAAACTGGCCGTGATGAGAGAATGCCGCCACCATCGCCGTCCATAGAGCAACGTCGTCGCTGGAAGAACAAAGCTCTTGGAAAGCCGACCGTGCTTCGATCAAGCTCCCACACTTGATATACATCTCGACGATGTCACGCCCGAGCCGTCGAGAATCCACACTGCTGTGCGCTGCCGCTATAAGAGCATGGATTTTCCTGCCTTCCACCAGAGCCCTGTCGTTGCCGCATCGCCGGAGCAGGCGAGAGTAGTCGAAAGAGACCGCCTCTAGAGATTTCCCTCCATCCGGCCAAGGATTGATGTTCTTGGCATCCGATACCGCCAGCATGTCTCATCGGCGCCTCGATTCCAGCCAGAACGGCACCGGTTTCTAGAAAATCTCTGATTCCATACCTTGCCGGCAGGGAATCCTTGCGAAATATCGTAGCGCCAAGGCCGCCATGCGCCGCGGAGGCAAGGCGCCAAATCCCTAAAACCCTAAACACACTGTTCTTGTTCTAGTTCTTTTCACGGCTCTGCGCAAGATAGATCAAACAAAAACTGGCATTGATCTATCATCTATCTACACAGCTCCACTCCACGATCTCGCGCTCTCACTGCTCGTGGCTATTGATCTCCTCCATCTGGACGGCGGGAGCGCCGGATTTCTGCGATCCAGTGAGCCGCGCGAGCGCCACAAACGTGTATCCTCCGAGGAGATTATTCACCGTCCTGGTCGCGAGCACAGATGCCTTGAACAGCGCCGGGGGTAGCATCCCCGCGAGGCCGAATTCCAATCCATTCACGGCCTGGTACCTGAGATTGCTGCTCAATCCCATGTGTGCCGCCCACGTCGCGGCGTTGAGCACCGTCGGCGGCGCCTTGTTCTGGGGCTGGAAGCTCGGATCCATCCTCTTCCTCGCGGCGAGCAGCAGCGACGACAGCGCGGTTCCAACCAGCCCCGCCGCGAATCCCACCGCGGCAAACACCGCGCCTTTGTAGAGGAACGTCCCAGCCCTGGCGGCGAGCGAGAAATTACCCGACTCGAACATATGCCCGGGAGGGCACGAGGAGAAGATCCCAGGCAGAGCGCCGCCGCCGCTGCTCGATCCAGTCGGCGCGAGGAGATACATGAGCGTGAAATTCAGCAGCGATCCCACCACCATGGTCGAGAACACGAAATCCAGCTCGTTGAGCCCGAAATTCGGCCTGGAAGCCATGTCCCCGAGCACATTCGCGCCCACGCCGACGATCTCCTCCATCGCCACCTTGAACGGGAACTGAGGATCGGCCCTCACGCGATCCTCCCACCCCTGCAAGAACGCGCCGAATATTCCACCGCGACGGCGCCCCGGCGGCGATGGTCCGCCACCGCCGCCGCCTCCGCCGCCACCTCGCCGCCCATTCTGGCCGGCGCCGCCGCCTCCTCCGCTCTCCACGTAGGGCTCCTCCCGGAACGTGAAGAGCGACACGGGGCCCCGGAATCGCGAGCCTGATCGCGCGCCATCGCTGGAGGAGGAGTTGGATCCCGCGTCGCTCGTCGATCGGCAGTGGATGTGCTGGCGCTGGATCAAAGCGGGGAATCTTGGGCCGCATCCGAAATGCGGGTGGCGATCGCGGCGATTCTCGCGGCCAGTGGCAGCGGCGGCGACGGCGGCAGTGGCAGCAGCCGCCATTTGGATTGGATCTTCGCTAAGAAATGTGAGACAAAGAAGAGAGAAATCCCTGCGATGATCTAATCGCGCTACCTCCTATAGAGACCCTTCTCTCCCTTTTAGGGTTTTAAGAGTATAGCATTTTGGTAGTGGGGCATCCATTTGCTCCTTGTCGCTATCTCTTCAACACTACTATTCCACACGCAAAGCTTTATAGAAGAAGGAAGACGAAGAGGATTTGGAGTTCTCGGCCAAGGTTTGTTCTAGCACGATTTTTTAGTTCTGGTCAAGCTTGTGTTCTTTGATCGTAGATTCGTGAGATTTTTTATTCCAAGATCCACACACAATGCAGTCGCTCCAAGACCGAGCGTCGGAGTTGAGTGGAGTGAGTCAGGACGATGCATTCGAGATTGATGAGATCAACCTCTACAAGAAGCTGGGACACGAGACCTTCGTCAAGCTCTCCACGAATTTTTACAACAGGTGAGTGTCCTAAAATCTTCCTAGAGGTTAAGTTCTTTCAAGACGAGAGATAGAGTGATAGTGTGCGATGAGCTCACGACTAGTTTTCTTCTCGTGAGATCAATTGCTTTTAGGATGGAAAGTTCCTGCTAGTGGATTAAAGAGTTTTACTTTGGACACACAATGTTCTTGGGGAGTCCTAGCGAAAAGTCATAGTTATAGAGCTTTTAGAGCACACCAAGTTCTTAGCTAAGAGCTCTTAGATGATTGATGACAAGAGAAAGTTCCTCTTTGACAATTTTGGTGGTGGATCCACAGGGTCTACGCCGATGACGAAGAGTGGTTCCGCTCGATCTTTGCGAATTCCTCCAAGGACGCCGCCATCCAGAACCAGTACGAGTTTTTCATCCAGAGAATGGGAGGCCCTCCATTATATTCTCGTCGCAAAGGTATGCAATGCGTTCTTTTTCCTCCTTTTTTCTCGTTTATTTCTTCTTCTCTTGAGTCGTTCTCTTGTTCTTTCCTTCTCCGCTTCCTCTCTTTCTTTCGTCTTCCTTGACTTTTCCATCGTTCTCATTTTGTTTTAGCATTTCTCATTTGAGTTTTTAAAATTTTCTCACGACCAAACTTACAGGACATCCTGCTTTGATCGGCCGCCATGGACCGTATCCAGTGACCGAGCGAGCAGCGGAAAGATGGATCGAGCATATGACCGCAGCTCTCGACAGCGTGGAAGAAATCGATGCGGATTCAAAGAAACGAATGCTCAAGTTTTTCCGGTAAAACAATCTTCGTAGGTAGACCAAAGTATGTGATCCGTATGTGTTTTTTTTTTAATTCCAGGCACACCGCATTTTTTCTCGTGGCTGGCAAAGAGATGATGGCTAATCGCCGAGGATAAAGAACAGGTTTTCTTTATAAACTCTGGACTAACGAGCTATTGTTTTACACCTGATCTTCTCTACAGTAGAACACCGGGAATCAATGAAGTAGTTATTTACTCGACAAACGACAGGGAAGGTCGTGCCACCCGCGGATTCAACTTCAGAGGAACTTGCGTTGAGGACAGAGAAAGAGGGGCTCGCAGCAACAGTGTTTTCGCGATCGTTCAACCAGCATGGCGATCGACGAGCTCAAAGTTTCTTGCAGGAGGCCTCATATTGTAGCGGTGGCTTACCTCACGCAGGGTCACATTAATCCTCTCATTCACTTCTGCCTCAAGCTCGCTCACCACGGGATCCTGGTAACGTTCGTGACGATCCACGTGGACGGGCTTCTGGGAGTGGGGCAAAGGAAAGATCCAGAGGTCCCAGAGCACTGGAAGAACAACTTTAACTTCGAGCGCCTCGAGCTGGAGCTCCCGAAAGAGGGTGTGATGTCCCCGGGTGGATTTGCTAAGATCTTCGCGATGATCGAAGAGCTCGGAGGCCCTTTCGAGGAGCTGCTGTCAAAGCTCCACTCTCGAGAAGAGATACCAAAGGTAAGTTGTATCGTCTCCGACTGTATGCTCGTGTTCACTCAGGTAGTCGCCAAAAAACTCGGCATTCCGAGAGCTGGATTTTGGACGACTTCGCTGGCTTCTCTCACGGTCGATTATCATGTTCCACTTCTCCTGGAGAATGGTGATATTCCAGTCACTGGTAAGAACATCAGTGGACTTGCTCAACACTCTCCTAACTTCGTCTTCTTCCAGGAGAGAACTGGGAGAAGATCATAACTTATGTCCCGGGACTGGCTCCTCTTCCGGCTTGGTCACTTCCGATCATGTACCACGAAGGGAATATCATGACCACCACGGATCCTGGATACAAGCGGAAGATCGCAAGGTGCGTGATCTTGCGAGACGATGCTTGGATCATAGCAAATTCTTTCGAGAAACTCGAGCCGGCAGGATTCCAGGCACTCCGGAAGGCCATGAACCAGCGGTGCGTCGGCGTGGGGCCATTGCTCCCCGACGAGTTCTTCGGCGAAAGAGGAGATTATGACGAGCATCGCAAGGTGGTGGCTCCAGGTGTCGCAAGTTTCTGGAAACAAGACACCACTTGCCTTGAGTGGCTCGCTGGGAAAGCTCCAAACTCGGTACTGTACATCTCGTTTGGAAGTGTCATCAAGCTCACACTTCCAGAGTTTGAGGAACTCTCGAGAGGCCTGGAATCGTCCAAGCAGGTACTCCTGTCACATCTCCATGTTGTCCAGAAAAAACGCAATTTTGCATCGATTTTGTGCAGGCTTTTCTATGGGCTTTTCGTCCAGGATGTGTGGAAGGACTCGAGATCGAGGACTTGGAATCGTTCAAGGAGAGAACGAGCTCGACTGGACTGGTCATAAGCTGGGCTCCTCAAGTGGAAGTTTTGTCGCACGAATCCACGGGTGGATTCTTGACGCACTGTGGAT